GTATATAGAAATTTATATATAAATGTCAAATTTTACGGCGAACACCTTAAATTTTCGGGGATTCTTTTCTGTGTGTTCTCTCCATTTTAAGTCTCTTTCATTCAAAACAAATTTCACTCATGTGTGGTTTGTCCTGATGCGAATAATGAATTTTTTCAATTTATTTATTTTTAAATGAAATCAAATCTCTTTTACAATAATACGCATTAAATATTCATTTCCACATTAATGTACATTGTATCGTAAAATAATTTTAAATTTTTTTCTTCAAACTCCAAAAATTCGAAAACCAAAACTGCATTCATAAGATACCTTAGTGAGGCCGCGCGAAATCAAACGGAAAGCATAACAATAAAACCATAAATTAAAAAAAGGAGAGATAACTCGCGACAGACACACAGACGAACACTCTACAGTATACTATATAGCTATCCCTTTTCCTCTCATTCATCATCGACATTTTTCCGCTCCACTTTTCTGTATAACATTTTCGCTCCAAACCACTCATATATAGATGTAAACATACATCCTTTTCTCTTCGCACCCGCCCCGACAACACACGCACACAAAAAGTCCAAACGTTTTTCATTTAATTTCGATGCCAATTTCCGGTGCATATTGTGACGAATGGCCTTGAGTGAATTACGATTTTGACCCAAGCTCGAAATGTGTGTCTGCCAGCCAGCTTTGTTGTTCATTCGTCGAAATGTCATGGCTTTTATTCGGTTTGGCTTTTGTTCTCACCCTAAAAAAAACCGCATCGATCCAACACATTAACAGCAACAGAATGATGTATGCTCTAGTTTGCCATCGTTCGCTTTTATGTATGAATTTGTCAAATATTTTCGACCATTGTAACTATAGTTTTGTGTCCACACAGTCCACACGAACAAAAAGGTGAACAGCACACAAAACTTACGAAAGGTAAGTAAATAGAACAGTAGAATAAGAACAAAAAACTCGAAACATTCAACAACAAATCAAATCGAACAAATTTGAAAATATACATTTTGCTATTGATGAAATGATTTCATTGTGCCATGCGACCCAGACGAAATCTGTTATCTAATGGCTTGCATGAAATAATAATAATAATCAAGGCCAATGCAAAATAGCACAAGTAAAAATAGAGAAAATGCGCGCATCCAAGATGAAAATACATACCACCCACACAAGTTGTATTTGTCTCATCCGGTCGAAATCCATCAGCACACTCGCAAAATCTTGCACGACAGACATACGCATACGCATACGAATGCCGACAATCACTGGCAAATTGACACAGCGCTTTGAATTCTGTAATATAAGAGTGCTCAAATTAATTCTCATTATTCACGTCCAATTCAATATTTGCTATAGTTTTTTCTTTCATTCTGCTCCGTATCTTTCTCTCATTGCGTTGATATTCGCAATTTAAGCTCAAGTTAAACAATTTGATGATGAGTATAAAAGCCTCGTGCCATTGCTAAATTAAAAAAAAAAAGAGAGAGAGAGAGAGAGAGAGAGAGAGAGAGAGAGAGAGAAAGAATAATGCAAAAGCATTTTTTCTCTCTATATTTGCATACATCGACATTTGCTCCGTAGCAATGTAGAAATTCTTTTATCTTTCATTTTCGACTCTGTACTAATCATAAAAGCAGAAGCCAATCAGCCCTCGAACGTTGCAAACAGAATTATTTCTCATCATAATTCCATTTACGAAAGAAAGATTATTTATGAATTTTTTGTTATTTCAAATTTTTCTTGTTCTTCTTCTTCTGCGTTTCATCTGAATGTTTGTACCAACATGGAAGCTTCAAACGAAATGTTTGTCCAAACGAACGAAAATATGATAAATATATATACGAAAACATTTGAAAAAACACTAATCGCGATTAATGCTCGTTTAAATACACATACAGACAATTTCCGAGGAGGTGGGGAAAAGCAATGAGCAGCCCAAGTAAAATCGCAATGACAACTGTGTAGTAGTGGATGGTGTTTTCTTTTCTTATAAAAAGCAAAATATATATTACGTCTTTTTTGTATGAAATTTTAACGATGAAAAATGTTTCATTTTATCTCCTCTAGATTGCAATTTCATTTTGCCAATTTCTTTCGCAATACAGGAGAAAATCAGCGAAACATTTACACTGTTTGACGTTTGCAACCTGCAATTTGGACCGAAAGAACCTTTGCAAATGCCATCATCAGCTATTCGTTTGAAAAATAAATTTTTCAACGGGTATATTTGTTCCAACCACTTTAATTTGCAATAGATAAGGGAAACAGTACGGTGTGAAGGAAAATCAGCGGAAAATCAGCTGAAATGAATTCAACAGCAATCAATCTATGAGAGGTGGTGAGTGTGCACTGTGCATGTGCTCTGTTCGCGGTTATTTTTATCTTATTATTAATAAATGGCTGTTTTCGGTTTTAATTTTGCAAAGAGTCAATTAATAGCAATTTACCAACAACTTTAAATTAATTATTCCGATTAAACCTTAAAACCGTTATTGCGATGGAATGACGAGCACAAACAAAACATCCCCATAAACAATATGAAACAGAACGGCGTGCTGAGTGAACAACCAACGCTGTCTCTCTCTCTCTCTATCTTTCTGTTTTCCTCCCAAAGTTTTCCCTCTCTCTCTCTCCCTCTCTCTCCCATTGTATTGCCAGTTGTTTCCTTCTTCTTCTTCCCTCTTTTTAAAATTCGTTTATTTGACTATCTGCGCTTGAAAAATTGTTGGCACATAAATCGTTTATGGCAAAATACGGACAGGTAATAAAATTACAATCATCATCACATCGATAACTGCTGACGAGAGAATCGAATGCATTCGCAAAAGCGAGAAAAATGAATGGAAGGTAAAAGGTAACATGATGGTGAAGCGGTAAATGGAAGGTGGAATGTGGAATGTGGGACAGTGAATGGCTAATGGATCCCCGTCAGAAAAGTGCAAAACCAACATCAGCAACAACAATAACAACAACAACAACGTCGATAACACCATCAACACTGACAAACCCCGGTTAAACAGCAAACGGTCGCCATCGACCGCTGCCGCCACCGCCACAGCCTTCCATAAAATGGCAAAGTAAAATTTTTAAAATGATCGCAACGGAATGTCGAATCGATGCTTGAAGTAAGCTTGACGACCAAAAATAACGGAAATTACATTAAAAAAAACATGCACACACAAATACTCACGCACACACACACACACACCGCACACTGCACAACGCACAAAAACATTACATCATAGTAATTTACTTACCTTTTAAAACGTGATAATCTTCGGATATTTTTTCATCATTTGTTGCCAAAACATTTTCAAGATTTATTACCTCATGTTCATTATCTAATTTAGATGACACAGTACCATTAATTACTATCAACAGCAGCGCATAAACACCGGACCACATTAGCGATTCCATTTTTTTCCTTTCTTCCTTTTGTCCCTTATTCTGGTGCTAATTGTCCGTTGGTTGAGCCGTAAAAAGGAATACGCCAGGCAGCGAAAGCACAACGAATAAGACGACAATACCGTGGTGGAATAAAGCACCGACCAATTTTTGTCTGCACTTAAGAATTCTAAAGCGTGAAATCCCACGATGAAGAGGAGAACACGACGAAAAAGGCACGTTATTTTTTGGTTTGTCTCGCTTTGCAACAGTTCAGTAAAAAAAAAATGAAAGGAGAAAATCTCGGAAAAATTTTCTCTCAGTCTCGCGGATAGCACACGACACGCAAAATCAGCAGCAGCGGCAACAACAACAAAAAAGTTTTAAAGTGCACAAAATAAGTTGCTAAAGGAGTTAGCGCGGCAACGATGCTTACCGTCGGAAACTGCTCAAAGTACTAAATAATAGAGTAGCAGGAAAAAATGTGTTCGCTCGCTTCGGAAACATGCAGCCATATCTAAACGTAATTGCTTTTGATGCGTAATTTAATAAATCGACTTTTGCTCGATGGCGAAAAGGCGAAGAAGAAGAAGAAGAAAAAAAGCATACAACACCAACACATGGAATGACGACGCACGCTTAGCCAATTTGGCATATAGCTGATATAGTAGAGAAAAACTCTTTTCGGTACTAGGCTAATCCCGTACTTATTGAACTTTCAATATGGTCTTAGGCAAGCCAACGGAACTTAATCAGTTTTAGTCAGTCGTACGAATTAAATAAAATACACAAACGGATTTTCATTCATTTGAACTCTAGCCATGACTAACCTATTTTCGATACAATAATAACAAGAAAAACGAAAAACGGAAAAAAAAAAAAAAATGGGCTTAATACGTATTTATTCACTTAGGGCCGCCGAATGGTAGATTCGCTTTTGTCGCATACTGTGCGAATGGGGCCATTCAACCGACCTGTATGGTTTTATGCATTTATCAATAAAACATAAAATGAATACACCCATTCAACGACATGATCATCGCCGCTTTCTATTGTAATCGACTGTCGAAAAATTTACCAATCGAAATTCCAAAGGTTTTCTGGTTTGGCAGGGTTATTTCTTGCAAACGAACAAAGAGCCCGAACCAAATTTGAAAGACTATACACGGCGTGCTTTTATCGTCCGTTGAATTCGAGTGTACAATGCAGTACACACCTAATACGGGCTTTGGTTTGAAACGATTGGCTGGATGACGGTAGAAAATGTTGAAAAATTACGCACAGCAGAAAGATCAATCGAATGAAATGGTATCGATGGTAACGCTTGTAACCATAACTACGTTTGTAAACTTTATACGTGGGTTCGTTTGTTTTGTTCTTTGCTTTAACTCGAGCACGGTGTGCACATTTCGATCCAAAAGCCATGTGCTATTTTAAAGGTACTCTATCGCGTCGTTACAAACGTTTTGTGGGTGCTCTTGCAAATAAATGAAAAGAAAAAGAGTTTTTTTTTCTCTAAAAGCGGCCAAAACAAAAGAAATATCAAGTGGCTAATTAAATTGCATAAATAAAATTTCCAGTGTGCATAACGCAAAAGAAACGAACTTAAAGACGAAGAAGTAAAGAGAAAAAAGAAGAAGAAAACATACAGTTTTCGAAACGGAAATGGTTTGCATTCATAAAGTTTCCATATCTTCGTTTTGTGTTTACTTTTTGCCCGAAGCAGGCTTTTAAAAAAAAAAGAAGCGAGTAGAAGCGGAAAAGCAGGACCATTGTGCAGTTATGGCTCATTTGCCACAAATCGATTTTCGCTATCGTTGGCTTAGCGAGACCATATCGAATGCACTCGGCATTTTTGATACGACGTTTGCTGAACAACTAATTGCTGAGCACAGCGATTTGGTTGACGCATTTTTCAATGACGATATATATGAGGAGGCCGACGCCCGAAAGCAGATTCTCTTCGTTTGGCGAACGTTCTACGATAAGCTGGTGGAAGAATCAATAACCGTACTGGAGGAAGGTATGCGCTACATGCAGTAGTAGTAGTAGTATAAGTGCCAAAATGAAACAATTTAATTATCTGATGTTCGGCTATCAGAAAACGGTTCAATTAGTAAAGTATGGCCACATTATTTTAAATACGGTTTTTCAGTTGCGCCCCCGACATTGCCACAGGAACCGATGAGAAAGAAAGGCAAAACCAAAGGTAAAATATAATTCCAACAAACTATTCGACGATTTCATTTCGTACGCATATAATATTTCAACTCATTCCATTTTGATGTGGTTCTACCCACCAACACCAATCAACCGGCGCATGGAACAAACAACCAAACTCCCCCCCCCCCCCCCGAAAAAAAACTCGTCCAACCGCAACATTCAACAACGACTACGACTGTGACGATGACGATGAAAACACAAAAACACACACGCAAACGGTTTAGGTAAAAAAGCGAAAGACACTGACGCAACAGATGATGGCTCTCGGCCGAACTCAGCTGGAGGTACGTTCATTGGGATTTCACACACTCTTTCTCTCTCTCTTTTTGCCCGAATTTAATCATGCATTCACTAAAATTTTGAACACAAAATAATAATTCATTTAATTTAAATGCCTAATCAATTCGAGAGCAAATGGTCGGTAACATGTCGATTTTCTCTTTTCTCTCCTCCCCAAAACTCTCTCACTCTCTTTTTTTCGATTTTTTACCGTCTGGTGCGGGGAACGGTGTTTTTTAGGTCTTTCCGATGAAGAAACTGACGGTAAAAACACACTCACACATACATTCAAACAGAGAATTTTATACCTCTGCTCATTTATTGTAATAATAACTTTGGCATTTACTATTTTTGCTCGTGATTTATGGCCACCACATCGCCATTACGATCGACAACGATGACTATGACTACGATGACGACGACGGCGCGGGCGATGCAGGCAAGAAAAAGGGTAAAGGGAAAAAGAAGAAAAAGCCACCCAGTCGACCGCCATCACCCGTTTACATTGAAGTTCAGGTAAGCGAATAATTCGGCTCAATTGGAAAACAAACCTTAAAAAGTGAACGAAACTAAATGTACGGCTAATTGAAAAACTTTGAAAATTTATTTGCCATCGAATTACAAAGTGTTTTCACTATGCGTTTACATAAATTTAACTTTGGCATGCGCTGGAGAGAAATATCCGGCTTTATGGTATTATTGTAAACGCTGTACTGGCAGCAAGCCACAACATAAATGTATGCCAACCACTTCGGCATAATGGAACCTTTTGGGAACATTTCTCGAAACCGATTTTCTATCTCTCTCTCTCTCTCTGTCACTCTCTGTCTCTCACTTTGCCTCTGCTCCATTTGCTCTACCCGTTTCATCTCATTCGCTTCGTTGCCCTACAAAGCGTTCGTTGAGCGATGCTCACTTGCTGGCCTCATTTCCGAATGGCAAGTGGGACGATGAAATCTGGTGGATTTCTCATTTAAACTTGTGCACGTTTAATGTTGGCGTCGTCCAAAACTTGAAGCACAATTGGCCGAACGCGTAGGATATCCAGCGTGTATACCGTGTACGTACCGTACTGTACATTATTTAAATGAGTTTTTCGTTTTCACTTTTCAGAAAATTATTCAATCGTACGTGAAGACACCGATTTTGCATTGTTATTTCGGTACATTGCTTCCAGCCGATATTGATCCCAAGGCGAAATATGTGTACATTATGCGAAGGAGTGCCACGAAAATCGGTAACGTTAAGTTTTCCGCGCGCCCCAGATAGTTTTATTAATTATTATTTACGTTTTTGTTCTCATTTGGTGCGTGGCTGCGTGTACTTACTCGGGGCAATCGTATAGAATTGCCAGAGACATACGAACAGTGTCTGGCGGAAGTGCCGATGAGATTCATCACCGGATCGGTGAATGGTCAATTTATCGGTTCAATGAAGAAACTTTCCCAAGAAATAATTCCACTTGCACTCAATAATCAATTTCAAGAGCCGAAAATTACAAACAGCATTTCATTTGAACAAGATGAGCACCAAGATCAAGACAAACCGAAGACCAATCAAAATATTGAGTGCTCAATCGATTCCACATACACATCACGTCCCTCCGATTTCCGTATCAAGTCAATTTGCGATGGTATTACTTCGGAATTCGTTGAGCATAATTCCGATCGAAATGACGACCAGCAGCACAAGCAGAAACAGCAGCAGCTGCAGCAGAAGTGCAAAACCGGTCAGACCAATGAGACCGCTGCACCAAAATCGATACGCAAACTTTTTGACGAGTTCATTGTCGATTTCAACGAATCGGTCGAACGGTATTGTGTGAAACTGAAATTGCAAACTCTCCGATTTTTCCCAATTTTTTCTTCTTTACTTATTGATCGCATCAAATAATACCGATTTTGACTTCTTTTTTTCTATGCCTTGGCTTTTCGTTTGTGGTTTTTTTTTGTCCTTCTTTTTCTTCCCATTTTTTTGTCGCTGTCAGAAATCTATCGCTCACTGTGACTGAGTTCAATTTGTTCACCGCATACAATGCGCCCGGCCAAGAGAATATCACAGACGAAGAGGACAAAGAAAAGGTTATGGTTCAACCGATAATCGAATCGATCGAGAAGTGCAGCAAAGAACAATTGGAAGATATCGTGAACGGTTGGATGCGGCACATAAAGAAAGTGTTCAAGATATACGAACAAAAGGTATTGGAATTGTGTCGTCGCACCAATTGAATTTGGAATAACGCACGCCCCGTCAATACGTTGACGACGACGACGACGACGACGACAACCGTCAGCCATATTCCATTGTAAATGTCGTTGGTTCGATATTTTTTTGCTATCTATCTATCGTTTCAGACACCCGCAGATGACAGCCCGATAAGTGAATATCATTTGTGGCGAGAGGAAGAGGCCGAATACAAAGACATTCTTGAGCAAATAAAAAATCCGTTTGTAATTTGTTGTTTGGGTGAGTTGTGTCGTTTGAGTAGGTTGTATTTTTGCGCATCGTTCAACATTCACTTGCAACTTGTTCATCTGTGTATTGAACTCTATTTGCATACATTCCGTTTGGCCCAACTTTGCGTGGCAGACACATTAAAGCAGCAGGATTCGTCTGTTGTCGTCGCATTTCAAACACTCGTCGAAACGCTGAAGAAAAAATTCGAGCAAACAAAACAAAATGCCGACTACATATCGACCACTGTCGATTATCTGATGGTATTTATATTGAATATTTCACATATTTTCCACTGCAACAACGTTTTTACTCAACCATTCTTTTTTGGATTTGTGCTATTCTCTCATTTACATGCTACTTTCGTCCGGCAACAACAACTATCAACAATCAAACAACCAACAAACAAACAAATAAACGACCACGGCGACGGCGGAACAAAAAAATCATAGAAAATCCAGAGCGAATCAAATTTTGATTACATAAAATCGTTAATACCGAACGTAATGCTTAGTCTGCGCCATATTTGGATCATATCGACATACTTTAGTCAAGATGAAAAAATGCAAATGTTACTCTACAAAATATCATTTATATTCACCGAAAAAGTGAAGCGAATTGTTACACTGAATGCAATATTCAAATATTCGGCGTCCGATGCTCACGCTTTGGCAACGAAATGTGCTGATTTATTGTCGACTTGGAAGGAGAATTATTTGAAAACTAGGGAGCACATCGAACAATCGGGGGTCGGATCACGTTGGGAGTTCAATAAAAATATTTTGTTTGATGATGTCGACCACTGTGCCCGCATAAGCAATGATATTGCAAACATTTCGCTGGTATTCATCGAGTTCGAGAACATATTCAAGCAGAAACTTCAGTCGCTGGTTTACAATCCCGATGATGTAGACAACATGATGAATAAAGTAAGTGGTGGAAGACAACATGTGACCGAATGAGAAGCGCTTTTTTGCTTATTTTATGCAATCGTTCACTGGCTGGCTGGCTGACTGACTGGCTGGATCACTACACTCTACGCTCGTTTGCTCGCAGAAAGCAAACAAAAAACGACAAAGCGAACAAACAAAAGGCGACTATGGGGAATGCAAATAAAAAATGGCCAACCAAGCTCTTGAGATGAAAGGCAAAGTTGACTAATGGAAATGGCCGTAGCCAAAAATTGCTTGAAAATCAATTCTAATGACATTTTTCCTACACTTTTCCTACATTCTTCTTCTCTTTTTTTTGTTCGTTTCATTCTTTTCTTATCATCATCATCATCATCATCATCGATTGTGTGTGCGACACAGATCTACCAACTGATTGATTATGTCATCAACATTGACTACGATATTTTTCGACCGGGAAACTTGGAAAACTGGGAAGCATCGCTGAAACTATTCGATAAACGACTGCAGAAAATTGAACGCGATGCAAAGAATCTCATCGATAAATGCATTCTCACTATGCGTTCGACCGAAATGGCCATTGAACTGATCAACACTGTTGAACAACTCAACACTCGCAAATGTCTCGTAGAACATATGCTAACCAAACATGACAGCATCGTTCACAAATTCACAAGTGAAATCGAGACGATTGAACAAGAATTTCGGGTATGATGAAAACAAATATTTAAAAAAAAAAACCAGCATAGAAATAAAAAGAGATAGAGAAGGAGTGAGAGCGAGAGAGTGACAGAGAAAAAAAATAAAGGATTTCAATTCTCGCCACATTGTTTATTCACAGTGAAAATCGACTGCACGATATAGAATTCGATTCACTAAAAATTTGCATAATATTTGAATTTAACAGAATTTCAAAAGGAATGCGACGCCCATCAAAAACCAACCGAAATTCATCGGATCCACAATTTGGAAAAGGCTTCTCTGTGAATATTTAAGTAGATCGGCAATCGCTTTCGAGAAGGTACATTATATCGTTCCATTCCACTCGACTCGATTTCGTCGCATAATACACTCACTCTTTTGGCACACAACACACGAGGACGATGACAACCAAAAAACTGTGCATAAACCTTTGCGCGTCCCTCTCTCATTCTCATTATGTTTCCGTTCTGTTTATCTTTTTGTTTATGTTGCCGTTGCCGCTATTACTCTTCCCTTGGTGCTGTTGCTGCCTCTACTACTGATACTGCGACCACCGCTACTGATGCTGTCCATCCTTGCCATCCCGTTACGTTCGATACACTTTTTTCCGTTCCTCGTTCAACTTTTATTTTTATTAATTTGTGTATGTGTATGTGTGTGTGTGTGTGTGTGTGTGTGTTGGGGCGGTGGGATGGGTGACCAAATCTCCGAATAAAATAAAATAAAAAAAAAGATTGAAATCAATCCAACTTTGAGCGATAATGGCTTGAGACAGACCGCATTGCAAAAGTATTTAACATTGATTGAGGACATGAATAATTTTGAACGAATCAATTATGAAAACTTTTTGGCTAGAGGAACGAAAGCGGTTAATGATATTCTCAAACGGAATATTTTAAAACTGAAAATAATCAAGGCACCGAACAGTAAGTATCTTATCAACGACAAAACGGTGACAGCAAACTGCTTTTAACCATTTTCACCATTTTTGTTCAAGGGATGGTTCACTCTTTATGTTGGTTTGTTTGCTTTTCGCTTTTGTTTGTTTGTTTATACGCCTAGAGCATAGGCGAGATGTTTCTTCTACTACTTCTTCTTCGTCAACGTTTGTATTCCCTCTCTCTCTTTCTCTATCTCTCTCCCCTGTTTTTGTTGTTGTTGTTACGAAAAAGCATCCATCCAACATTGAACGATCCCCATCTAGACAGTTTGTAATAAATTTTTCAAACATTTTTACGATAGAAATTATATTTTGATTATTATTGTTCCAGTGACTTGTTACCCGCTTGCCAAACAAACTGGGATCAATAAATTCAACATTGCGGTAATAATTTTTCCCCAAATGAACGGACGAACGAACGGACGGACGATATAGAAGTTAAGTAAAAAGCTTTCAGCACTTTTTGTTAAATTGATTATTTGTGCTTTTAGGTCAAAATCCGAAGACGTCACCGTGACAAACCGAATGCCATGCAACAACGAAAACGAATTAAATTTTTAACGGCGGCCATCGCCTTAAAGTGGCTCGTCACTTATTCAAGTGGTGCCACGCTGATCGCTCAATCTGATGTCCAAAACGAATTGAGTGCCGAACAATCGAAACGTATGAATTTATTCATTTTCACTGATTTATCAATTCTAAAACAGAAGATAGAGACAAAAAAAACTTAAATTTTAACGCTGATTCGTCGAATTCGTTCTGAACAGTTTTTCAGGCCGCATCGCGGCAAGCAAACAATCTAACGTGGGAGAGGATAACGGAACATTCCATTCTGATTGAATATCAATTAACTTTTGATGTGAATTTTTCAAATGGTACTTTTTTTGTTCAACAACTCTATGTTCAATACGATGACGATGATGCATGTTGATTGTTTCTTTTCCATTTTCCCAGTTATTTATGACATAATAATGGAGAGTCAACAGTTTGAATACAATAATTTTAAATTGAATCCCGTTTTACGTATGGCCATCATGAGGAAGGTAAAGTTGAATACAATTTTTTTTGTTTTGAAAAATGCCAAAAAATGCGCTGAACACTCACACCAAACTGGAAATGCGTTGCAATATCGTTTATTTTTTTTTTGGTTCAAAACAAAAAAAAATGAAAAATGTGGTATTCGATATGCGAGTAATGGAATCTTCGCACATTTTCAGGAAATGCTTTTTGTTGATGTGCAGGCGGTAACACAAATGCTCGCCAAATACAATGGCATCATTCAAAGTTTATCCGAACCGGAGGTAAGCATTAAATTGAAAGCTATACGTGTTTGTTTGCAACTCACACACGAAAAAAAAGTGAACCGAACCATGGAATACCATAAACCATGCATCATCAAATGTTATTTGTCACCGCTGATGTTGTGGTATTTGCTCGTTCAGCGATGCAACTTTCTTGGTGACAGTTCATTCGTGATGCAGTCGGCGCACGTGTGTCTGTGTTTGTGTGTGTGTGGTGCACAATGCTCCCACAGCAAATGCAATGTGATAACCGAAACAAAGTGACACACACGCATACACACACACACACACACACACACACACACACACGAAAAAGCGCATGTATAAACGAACCGCAGCAAAACCATCATCACTACCAATTGACGAACAATATCACATGTAGTTTTCGTTGTCTACGTATTTTATTAAATATTTTTTCTGTTGGTTTGTCTGCTTTGAAATAGATTCATTTTTTACGTGACATTCTGTACGCAGTTGAATTGAAAATTCAAGCTGGATTAGGTAGATACACATGGCAATCATGCAACATTCAGACGTATTGTCAAACATGCGAAGAGGTATTACATTATTGTGATATTTTTCTGCTATCTTTTCCATTTCATTTTCATTCGTTAATTTGAGCTTTGAGTGCAAAATTACATTGTGATCGAATGGAAAAATGTTGAATGGTATTAACGATGTTATTGTCGATTGTTTGTGTCGTTTATCAGTCAATATCGCATTTAAAAACATTTATAAGACAAATAAAGTACGTATCGTCGGATATCAAAACCCGGATGAATCAAATAGAAACGCTGTCAATGTTAACATTGTGTGAAAGCGATCAGCCGTCAAACGAATTGCATTCCTCCAGAATCTTCAACCAGAAATTGAATGCAATCCACTCGAATGGATCATCATCGGCAGCAGCAGACAACAACATCGTTAACGATAACGACCATCAGCATTGTCTTGAAAATGCAACGAAAGCTGAACAACGTAGGAAAAGTGTTACATTTGCCAGCGATGTGGAACCGTGCATGCCATCGATTGCAATGTATTTTAGCATCATTCACGACAACCAGCACAGAAAAATGAAGAGCGTCGAACATTTATTCAACACCATTGGGCCAATTTTAATTAAACTGGAATCTTTGGTATTGGACACGAGCACCGGTGAATTGGATAATATGCGTTTGTACTACAATTTCTGGGAAAATCAATTGTTTGAACTTTTAATTAGGTATTTTGAATTGCTTTAACTTTGTTATATATATACGCAATGCAGTGTGTGTACTTTATACATAGCCACATGCTACTGGAGTGCTATTTTGTTATTATTTTTCAATTTTGTTTTGATTCGCTTTTGCTTACACCCTCGTTGTCTGTTTCCTTCTCCCTCTTTCTCTCTTTTACACACACAATTCCTTCCTGGTACTTCTCTTGCTGTTGCTGTTGCTGCTGCTGAATATTAATTTTTTATGCCTGACGGCGATGCTGTCGATAATGCGACGGCATCCTTCTGTTCTCGCTCACTCTGGCATCTTTCTCTATTCTGCATGTGATATGCGTATGAATCGGCGTGCATGAATCTGGAACCAATTTATATTGATAGATTGACCAAGAGAAATTTGAATCAGTTCATTGAAACGATGCAGTCAGATCATCCATTACTTTGCATCGATGCTTTACTATCGACACCATACATCGTTCTACAGCCGAGTGGCACTGAAGTTTACAACACCATTATGGAAGTGGTAAAGGGATTCCTCGAAAGGTAAAAAAAAAAATGTTCAAATGAAAAGTCTGGTCAGTAATTGATTCAGAGGATGAAAAGGAAAATCAAAACATAACAAAACAAACGCACGATCCCTGATACGGTATAATGTGATTTGGGCGAGTGCGTGCTGCTCCCTAGCTGCTGAGACCAATGGAATAAATATTGCAATTTCATCGACAATTGCGGTTTGGTTAAACTGCAATTAAATTTTGCATTCTATTCACAGCTTGAAATCGTGTACCCGATGGGCGCATGGAACTTGTTTATCTCCAATGGAGTTGGTATATGATGCTGAGGAAGGCGGCGGCGGCGGCGGTGATGGTGGTGGCGCCAATGGTGGTGTGTTCACGTTTTACGAGGATATAATAAAGGTATGAACTTGTCTGAAGCATCCATATCGTTGATTGTTCATACGTGTTCTCTCCATACACACATATCCCAACAGTTGCCGGATGTTAACGATTTGATGTCCAATATTGAACGAAATATTCAACAAATTGTTGACAAAATACACGAATATTTAGGCAGGTTTGTAGCTTTTTAGCGAGCGTCGTTTGCTTATTTTAAACCATGTGCCGTCCTCATGTTTTCCAATGAAAATCAATGATCAACTTACACGAACACGATTGCAGACAGCATTGTTACATTTTCTCCGACAATTTGCACATTTCAAATCGGGAGCGAAATCTGTGAAATAATGCAATTTTAAAAAATTTCGAAACCCTCATTATTATTACCGACATTGTAACATTGTCATTTCAGTTGGAATGAATTCGAAGCGCTATGGACGTCCGACAAAATGATAGTTTGCGAAAAGTTTGTTAGCCGTGGCTTACCGCTCGTTCATATTGATGAAAAATTTCTGTTTTACACAAATATTGTGGAGCGCATGGATACAATACAACCGTATCATGACATCGGGCCAATTAGATTGAATCTGCACGCGTTGATTGCCAACATTCGAGCATATGCTATTGATTGGAAAAATACATTGGGCAAAATACTGATCGAGAAAACGCTAAAAGCATTACGAACGCTTCACAAACAGATGATGGTACGTATGCGAAAGGCGATGGCAATAGTCCATTTGAATGATTTCAAAATTACAATGGTTAACGTTCTCTCTCTCTCTCTCTCTCTCTCTCTCTCTCTCTCTCTTTGCATCATCTATTTTGATTAATCGAAGGAATTGAAGCAAAATTTGAATCGTAACATTAAGGGATTGGATGAATTTAAGCTTGCCATGCAAATCATTGCCACGATACAATCGACGAACATCTCAACTGAGCTGCAACTGCATGAAATTCAAGAAACTTTTGCCATTTTAGCTGATCATAAAATAGAGGTAATGAATTATCAACTCTCTTTCACTTTGTCTCTATCTCCCTGTCTCGCTCTCTCTCGTACGAGTTGTTCGCTCTTTTATGCGCTGCTCAAACTTTCGAAAAAGTATCGTCGTCATACTGTAAAATAAAACGATTTATGACTCCTTAATAGAGTTGAACGTATTAAGCAAACAAATCATTATTTCTGGAACGCACAAAATTGAACGAGCGGAACAAGTGAGAGAGAGAGAGGAAGAGAGGAAGATGCGAGGCAATGTAATTATTTCAACTCGTTTCTAAATTAGAAGCTCTGGTTCTTTTTTTTCTTTGTTTTTCTTCTCCTCGGTTCGGTTGCAGTTCAAGTTTAGCGACATGATCATGTCATATTATTTGGAGCGACGATGGCGGAAATTATACAATTCATCATTAATTAAAGCTGAGTCACTGAAACCTATTAAGAAAAAGTTTGCTGATATGACAACAATTGAAATCAATACTTTTTTAACAAACGTAAGTTTTTTCCTCTCCATTATTATTATTCGGACTTATTAGTATTTTTACCGGAAGCGATCCGTTTACGAGAGCGAACACGAGGCGCGCGCGCGCGTGCGCTCATGTTTTCACTCAAACAGTTTTTTTGCTTCTATGGTTGCGTGCAGCCCCGACCATGGGCCGCCATGAACTCTTCTGTGTCCGGATAATTACAGTATCGATTGTTGCACGCTAAGAATTAATTGACGCGTTGCCACACTGTGTTGTTATACAACGGTTCCGTTTAGTTGAGTTCGTACGTTTTGCGTCTATATTCGACGTTATCAATTCACATGCACTCATTTGTTGGATGCTTCATGACTAAAAACAAAACGGACAACGCAGGGTTTCACCGGTGGGCACAATGCACGAGTGAGCAAGTGAGAGCGAGAATGGGATGGCAAACGACCGGATGAAATTAAAGAAAAATTGTGAAGCTATTCTCGTTCACATTTTCACTTGCATTCCCACACACACACACACACACACACACACACACACCGTCTCGAAACCATTATTAAATACATTTTATATCGAAAAATGGCAAAAGTTTTTCATACTACATTTCATCCTTTATTTCCTTCTCTTCTTCTTCTTCTTTCTATTTTTTTCCGCTTTTGCCAATTGGATGTGTTCGTCGTGCTTTTTTGCGGATTGGCTACGATGGATTTGTAATGGTCGCCGTACGTGAATGTGGATATATGGGTTGGTATGTGTGCATGGGCAAACATTCAGCTATCGATATTTGTGCAGCGTTTTTTTAGCGAAGGGCCAGGTGCGGTCGATATGGATGATGGCATTAAACTAATGGAACGATATAGCGATCAGTTTAAGTTGTTGGAACAACAGAGACATGAATTCGGTAACGAACAACATATACGCTTAACACACAGCACCACCGATTCAGCATTCCAGTTCCACCATCACGATTCTGAAATGGATGTGACAAAAAAAAAACGAAGCGAAGCGACATAGTAGAATTAGAAAGAGAGCGAGAGATATGTAGAATGTGAAAAAAAGTAGCGCAAAGCGCAGAAGAAGGGAAAAAAAATTAAAATGTCGAAGCTCACTGCACTTTAGTTTTCACATGCACGTAGAAATGGCGAAATGCCGAGACAAAAGCGCACATGCATTTCTGAGTATCGCTCTCACCATCGAGCGTCGTCGTCCGAATGGCAAACATACATATAAACGTAGCAATAGTAGTATTCGTTGTCGTCGTCGTTACAGTTTACTCATTCGTTCATCTTCAGCGAGAAGAAGAAAACCAAAAACTAATATATATTTAAATTTTTCTCTAACAACTCGCCGATTACACCTTTAGCAAATGCTGAAAAACTATTTGACATGCCGTCTACAGACTATGCAGACTTTCTACGTGCGAAAAAGGAATTCGATGGCATGCATTTTGTACGTATCGTTCCACATTTTGACAGAGTAGTACACACAACGAGATGCGAGCGCTCTTGGCTTGGCCACCACACCAAGCTTCCGATCTCAGCTCAATATACTTTGCTGCTGCTGCTGCTTCTGCTGCACAAATATAGGCCAACAAGAGCAAGATAGAAGAAACAGCAGCAGCGTTGGCGCAAACTCATACATACACACAGCGAGGGAAATTCTCGAAAATAAAAAAAAATCAAAAGAATTTGCATTTTTATTTATCGATTTTATGCTTTGGTTTTTGCTTTAATTCATTTTCGGTCCGTCGCTTTACGTTTCACATCGATGATGGCACCAACACTGCTACTGCTGCAACACTCGGACAACAAAAACACGCACACAAAATTGGCCACACACACCTACACACCTACACACACGTACACAACTTGCCGAAGAACATCTCCCGGCTGGACACCTACACACAAACTACAATATCGGGGCTGGCTGACAATATGCTGACGCTCGCCATTCAATTAATACACCCAAATAAATTACGCGCTCGTGCATTTTCATTCGATCAATATGTAGATTTTTAAAATTTACAAACAGGAGAAAAATGCCAGAGACAATTGGGCAACGACACTGTGGTGTAATTCGAATCCATATCTGCTGTACGAAGGAATCAATGCATACATCAGCGAATTTGAGAAACTTGAAAAATGGGTCGGTGTCAATTTTGCATCTTTCGCTTTCCGTTCTGTTTTTTTTTGTTAGCTGTCGCTATTTCGCACCCCCGCTGTCTCTTTACATCAAGGAATGATGACATTCCCGGTGCAGTTGTGTGCGCGCTTCACACTCACGAACTATTCCGTCGAAGCTTAATTAGTCAATGTAGCTAGTTCCGAGGAAACGATAAATGACATTGACACGTTCAGCAATGGACTTGAGTTTTCAATTCGTCTTGTGAAGTGCGCACACGCTCATTATGCCAATTGAATTGAACGGCGTTTTTTTTTCTCCATTGGCTTCTTTTCCTCTCATTTTGCACAATCTTTCCATTTCACGATATTCGCATTGATCATGAAAATCAATGGATTTCACTTTAGATTCGTGAGTTGAATGCCGGTCGAAATTTGCATGAAAAAATGAAGCAGTTTGAATTGTCGGTGCCGTTGATGGCAAAATTACAAAATGATTCGCTGAGACATCGTCATTGGGAACATTTGATGACGAAAACGGGCCATCACTTCAACACCGATCGAATGGAATTTCGACTATCCGATATGTTCGCCATGAATCTGTATAAACATCAGGTGAGAGACATTTTCAGCAGAGCAAACTTATTTCGAGTATCCATTCGAAATGCTTCGAATGGAATGTGTGTGCCAAGGGCCAAAATGACACTAATTTTCACACGGAATTCGATTTTAATTGAAATGACAGGTGGATGTTGAGAGAATTGTACACGCTGCAAACAATGAAGTTTTAATTGAGCAAACACTTGATGAACTCATTTCGAAATGGGATCGATTAATGTTTACATTTCAGCCACATTCAAAGCGAACGCACAAGCGTGCCTTCACACTCGAGCAAACGGACAAAATCATTCAAATTATTGAAGAAGATGCGATGCAATTACAAATTCTATCTACTTCACCGTAAGATGAACTTCATTGAAATGATTACGCTTTTTGCCTTTCTCTCTCGCTCTCCGAATCTCCATCTCGTGGGCAAGTGAGGCTTCTTATATCAAATTAATGGCTTAAGCCCGAGAAAATTCAATGGAACTCACTTTCGTTATTGAATAAGGCAAAATTGCACGTACAACTTGAGTGTGTGTGTGCATATGTGTGTTGACCGTTGCCTCACTTGCTCTGGGGATGTATTGTTAGAAGAGAGAACAGTTTTCTTTTACTTTCGTTCCCTTTTCATCGTACTCGTTCCATTATCGTTTTGATGATAGATTTGTGGAACCGTTTTCGGATTTGATTCACACATGGGAAAAGACTCTGTCGCTCATTTACGAAATTATCGACCAATGGGTCAATTTTACGCAACGAAAATGGCTGTATTTGGAGGGCATTTTTGTTGCTAACGATGCACGCATCAAATTACCAACGATTGCTGACAAATTTGACAGGATTGATGTCGACTATATAAAAGTATACCGAAAATAAAACAAACAGTTACCCGTTCTTGTGTTTATCGAGCCTCAAAAAAGTACCTTATTAATTTCCTCTCTCTCTATGTCTCGTATGTATGTGTGTGTTTATGCCGACGGTGCAATAGATATTACAGGAGTCGGCTGAGAATCCAGGTGTAATACAAGTGTGTATGGCAACGGATCGTATGAAAACACTGCAACAACTTCACCAACGGCTAGAAGAATGTCAAAAATCACTAAACAGCTATTTGGACGCCAAACGACATATATTTCCAAGGTGTAATTCAAGAATGGAAAACACATATTCGTAGAATGATAGCACATAGATTCCGAAGAGAAAAAAAAGAACGAAAAAAAAAATATCAACAACAAGAAAACTAGGGATCGAATATAGCGAAAAGGAATTCCCAGGCCGAAAGTAAATAACATACTCTTATTACGTGTATTACAGATTCTACTTTATGTCGACAGACGAGCTGCTATCGATGTTAGAAAGCGGAGACCCAGCTTCTGTGCAGTGTCACATAATCAAAGTGAGTGTCGTGCATTTCAATTTCGATTGTCTGTTTCGTTCTATCTCTTCTCCCAACCGTTTTATCGCATCAAATCATCAACCAATTGATTATAGTACTTTTTCCCTTCTCTCTCTCTCTCTCTCTCTCTCTCTCTCTCTCTCTCTCTCTCTCTCTCTCTCTCTCTCTCTCCTTTTCCGTTCAATCGGTGGTATTTGGTTTTAGATGTTCGAAAATATAAAATCGTTGCGATTAGAAACGAATTTAAATGGTTGTAGAGTAATCAAAGGAATGATTTCGACCGAAGGTGAATTTTTGCAATTCCACAACGAAGGTTTGTATGCACCCAGTACACTAACTATCCCTACATACCAATTTGAAATTTGAGCGCCGATTGTAATGTTAATGCTTATCAAACGTTTGCAAACAATCACATTATTGTAAATCGCATCACCAAATGTTTCGTTGCATGACAATGTGCCACCACCGACCATCACCTTCACACTACGGTCACCACACACGCACACAGTTTCAACAGATGTTCCCATTGAAAATTGGCTGAACAATATCTTGGAGCAAATGTATTACAGTCAACGCTATGTGACGAAAGCTGCGATTTATGATTATGGCAAAAGCGGTGATACACGCATCGAATGGATTCACAATAACTTGGGTATGGTGTGTTTGGCGGCAAATAGTGTTTGGTTTACCGCACAAATGGAGGAAACCTTTCGGCAAATAGGGAACGGACGAAAGGATGCAATGCTAGAACTTTTGAACCAGCAAAACGCGCAAATAAATGATTTAATGGCAAGAGGTTTGAAAATTAATTAACTATTTCGAAATGAATTATAATCCTGATACCGCCATCTCTCTCTCTCAGTCGCTCGCTATCTCGCACAGAGCGATCGGATCGGATCGGGTCCATCTCTATATTCAGCCAGCTCGTTTACACTTTATCGAAAATTATTGTGCATATTTTGTATAATACATATCGAGTATGTGAAAATGTGCTTGTGCTAATATTTAAACTAAATTTACTTAACCGATTATGCTTATCCATCGGATACCTTCGTCTCATTCCAACTCTTCTCTCTCGTTTGCTCTCTCTCTCTCTCTCTCTCTCTCTCTCTCTCTCTCTCTCTCTCTTCTTTTTCGTACGCTTTATCGTCACTGATGCTGCTGTGGTCGATGCCACTGTCACACATACATACAACACAACACACATCTGCACAGTTCATTCAAATTTAACGTACTGCGATCGCCTTAAATTCAAGACAATCGCCACTGCTGATGTGCATGCACGAGATATCGTCGATTTGTTTGTTGAACATCACATAAACGATGCGAGACAGTTCCAATGGATGAGTCGGCTCCGGTTCCATTGGCTCAGGGATGTGGATAATATTTTTATTGAACACTATTCAGGTACGAGAGGCTTTAGCATTATTTTATGGATTGCAATTAATTTTCAATTACACTTCGATTCGGTTCGGTTGCGATTGGCCAATTCGTTTAATCATTTGTGTGTTTTTTATACATAGCATCTCGAATGCTACATCAAACATCGGCATATATGAACGGTCAAACGAACGGTTTGAATTATTGAAGCTTCAAATTCAATGCTTCATTCTGTCTCACAGTTCAGTTTACCATCCTCCCCAAAAATTTTGCTTGCAATTCATTGGCATTGCCTTTTTTTCTCTTCTTTTCTCTTTCTCTCTCTCTCGCTCGCTTTGTCGACAAAATATAGGTCGACTTCGATATGGCTACGAATACATGGGTCTTAACGGTCGACTGGTTATAACACCAGGTACGGAGAAGGTTCATTTTGCCATTGCACATGCAATCAATATGCAAATGGGTTGCATGCTGAACGGACGAGAAAATTGTGGAAAAACTGAAACAATTAAAGATCTGGCGAAAATATGTGCGATATTCTCAGTGATAAGGAATTGTACGGAATTCATGGATTTCAAGACGCTACACACGATATTCATTGGTCTTGTGCAGTGCGGCGGTTGGGGAATTTTAACAAACTTCAACAATATGAGAAACTCCGTGATAAATGCTATTTCAATGCCAATCCACGCTTTAAATATGGCTCTGATTACAAAACGACCCACATTCCAAGTAATTTAAATTGAATTGAATTTTATTATATAGTTTAACTTCTACGCTGGCATCAACTTTTCGGATTCCATGCGATGAACGAACGATCTGTCCGTCTGTCGCTGTATGTGTGTGTGTATTTTGCATCTCAAACGCGAATCTCTTTCGCCATTTTAAATGAGAATTTCGCCCTTTCCGCACTAGTTTGTTCGTTGGCTCTATTCATTTGGGGGGGAATGCAGCAAAAAAACCAGACACATACAGACACCGACACACGCTCCCCGGGTTCCTCTTTGAATTTAAAATGTTAATAGAGAATTTATTGTTCTATGCAGGACGGATTAACCGAATTGAATTTGAACAATAATTTTGGCCTTTTCATCACCCTTAATCCCCAAACTCATAAAATGCAAAATGGCAATAGTGGCGGCGCCGACGGCAGCGGCAGCAGCAGCAGCAGCAGCAGCTTACCCGCTTTTTTTAAATCAAATTTTCGGCCGGTGGCTTGCGTCGAACCAGATATAGAATTGATCTGTGCCGTTTCTTTATATTCGGATGGATTTATACAAGCGCAAGTAAGCTCCCACTCACAAACTTATACAATTAAATGCCATATAAATTATTATCTTTGGTTGGCCATTTGTTGGTCTATGTGTGTGTTTGCGTGCGTATGTGCACGAGATTCAGTTTATGAGTTGTATCCTCTAGTGTAGCTGCCAAATAAAAAGCAACCAAACTAATGACAACTCATAAAACTGACCTATTGAATGGCACAAACATAAAAGCAAATCAAGGGCCATGATTTAAAATGGTCGAAATGTGCAACGCACACCATATTCGAATGACCGAATAACTAAACTAAACTGTTTTTCCAGGCAATGGCTAAAAAGACCGTGGCTTTGTATCAATTAGCTAACGACCAACTATCCAAACAGCATCATTACGACTGGGGATTACGTTCTTTGAAAGCAGTTATCAAATTGGCGGCAAAGATGCGTAACCATCAAACCGAAGCCTGTGAATCGGTCATTTTAATTCAGGCACTACATCAAATAAATCTTTCGAAACTTGTTTTCGAGGACATTCCACTTTTTTTGGGTTTAATTAAGGTGATTTTGTGTTTCGTCCGGCATTACGTTCGTGTTGTATTTAGTATTTTGATCCGTTTTTCGTTATGTGTGTTTGTGTGCGCGATTAAATTTAAATGATATGTAGCCAACAGTAACGGTAGAGAAGAGAAGCGAAAAAAATAAACGTTTGCCAATTTCAAAGAAATGTCCATGCTCTTTATCCATACGAAAATAGGATCTTTTTCCCGGTATTGACTGTCTGCAGCTTACTCATCCGGAATTTAGTGCGGCTGTTAAGCATGTTTTAGAATCAGAAAATTACGTTTGGCTTGTTGAACAGGTAAGCTTAATTTGGATTTGAACGTATGCATCAGCTTTTTTTTCCATAGCTCTCTCCCATAAATGTAAATAACGACTATTTGAAAGTGTTCCGTCTATTCTCAGCTGCCATTTTACCACATAAATTACTTGCAATTTTATCTCCTTTTTTTTAAATGTCCATTTTTTGTGTTCGCTCCCAACGTTGTTGATCCGCTTTCATCTTAATTCATTTTTTTCCTTTCTCTTTGCATTCAGTTGTGCTTCTTTTTTTGCTCATCCGCACATTTAAATAAAACACGAATAAATAAAAACGATTCTTGGTATTTTTCTACGTATCTTAAATATTGTTCAATGGTTTTTTTTCTTCATTTTCTTCCATGTTTTCATTCCATGACGAATCCACAACTCGTAAAACCACGTCACCAACAAAAACACAAACGACAAAACACATCCACAAAATAACGAACGAACGAACGAACGAACCAACGAAAACAACACACACAAAAATTAGCAAGAGAAAATCATTCAATTGTATCAAACGATGTCGACGCGTCACTGTACAATGGTTGTCGGCTCAACAGGTGGTGGAAAAACTGTCATCATAAACACGCTCATAAAAGTACAATGCCATTTGGGAATACCGACCAAGTGCACGGTGCTCAATCCGAACGTACGTTGCTTCAATTACCATTCGGATTTCGGAGCGGATTCAGTGGAGTAAATGAGAGAATGAGTGGGTGAATGAGTGAGAGGCAAGAAACAGTGAATTATGAAAAGCATGTGAAACGTTCAAGGCATGCAAAATGTTTAATTGGCATTTTGTTCGGCAAACTTACCTGTCTTTTTGTGAATTGTGTGCAGCGCGCATCTATCGCAATATTTCGACATCTCGTACCGGATGTGTCGTTAGTTTTCGGATAAAATTAAGAACAAAACAACACGGATATAGCTGTGGTGAGAGGCGAAGAGGGAAAGAGAGTAGAAGCAAATAAGAATCGTAAGCGGCACCAAGCGGCACAGAGTGAATGAGTGTACAAGAGAGCGGGAAACAAATGGCAAAATGATGACCCGATTTCCGCTCGTGTGAATGAAATGAATATGAAAGATAACGATCACATTTCAGTGAAATATGTCTGCACTTAAAACTTAAATTATTTTAATAATAGAGCTATTCATCGCAATATGTAAAGCTATTTGCACAGCACTCTCCGTTCATGAACTATCGGCATTGGCATACACAAACTCAGACACACACACATACAATCAACCTCATGTAGGCTCCTCTGTCGCCCTTTCTCTCTCAATCTCTTTCTCCATGTCAGTTTTGGCATTGGCTTTCTCATTTGCATGCAGACGGCTGTTTATTAATTTAATGTTTGCTCGTGTCCATATTGATGTTAGCAGCGAACAGTTTCAACTTCACAGTGATTTAATTTATATTTGTGCAATTTTATTCCGACTACCTACTTGGCCCTTTATATTACAATGCGAGACATTTCTGGGTGTGTGTGTGTGTGTGTATATATATGCAAACGCGCGTACAAAGGAGCAAAAGCGTAAGAGAAAGAGAGGAAGACGACTGACATTGGCGTGCTTGTAACGCGAATTTATTAGTTTACGAAATGTGTACGTATATTTGTGTTTAATTTTCACAAACTATACGCCAACTTGAAACTTAAACTCGTTGCCAACTGTGCACACATCGTAAGCATGCATATACAGATACACACACACACACACTACCAACAACAACAACGAAACAACAAATCGACAAAACATGCTGCATGGCATACTACACGCCGACCGACACGTTCACTTTACTCTAGTGTTTATTTCCAAAGTCTATGATATCTATGTGTATTAATAAATAGCATTAAGAATATCTTTTTTGGGGTGCAAGAATATCAAGACAAGAAAACATGCGAAAGCTAGCGCGACGTCGTCGGTGGCGGCAGCGGCAACAGCATCAACAAAAACCCCATTAATATTCAAGTTTTTGGTCTGAAGCAAAGATATGCACGGAAATGCTGCAGTTTTGGTTGAAGCCATTGTGCGCATCCATTTCGAATGTTGCTGTTTTTTTCTCCTACATGTATATATATATGTGTGTGTGTTGCTCTTTGAATTCGGTGAATTGCACGGCCACCTTTTGCACATTTCAAGCATCGACTCTCGAGTTTGGAACAACCAACACCATGCAGATCCAAACGATGAACAACGGCGTAAAAGCATACACGATGCATTTGATACGAGTCTCACTGCATGTTTATTACTGTGTATCATTACCACTATTAACATTACAACAATAAATTAAATTGGTTGAACACATAATAATTTGTGTGTGTGTTCTTTGAAAGGACAACACGAAATCATACGAGGCAAAGGACCGCTGCTCAAGCAAAAACATATGCACACCCTACCGTACATTAGCAATTATCAATGCCGAATTGGCAACGAAGAGAATTTGCGATATGCATAACTCTCAAGTTTTGTGCATCAGCAAGATAAATATCATATCGGTTTTAACTTATATAAATAGTAAACAAACTTGAAGCTCACTTTGGCATCATCAGCGAAACAATATCGTAACAGATTGTATCGCATCGTTTTTATACAATGCAATATGTCTATATATAGGTTTGGAACAATTGTACCAAAATGGTATCACTTCTTCTCTCTCTCTCTCTCTGCGTTTTCATTGCACACCGTGGAAATTGAAGCTGAAAGTGAAATTTTTTTAATTTGTTTACCATGTACGACATTCGATTTGGCTGCATTTGGGTATGTGTACATGTGTGTGGTATGTGCATTTTCAAATTCGATTACATTCGATGTAATGTTTATTAATATTGAATTATGTAGATTCCTGTGGCACACTGGCACATGCATATTTTAGGTAAGCAAGCATTTCAATTGATTGAACAATACCAGAATAATATTACGGTTGCTCGACAAAATGACAACACACATCTATGGGTATTTACGGAAAATTACACAAAGTCATCCATTAAAAATGAGCCATTCGTCCGCAAAAATGTCAAAATACTATGTTGAACATTTCCGTTGTCAGTCCGTTTCAACGAAATATTAATTACTTGAACTTTTGTTATTTACATTGAAATTGGGAATGAAGGAAGCTTACCGTTTTACCATCGCTGTGTTTTCGACCAATTTCAGAGCTGACCGCACACAGTTTCACTTCAATCAAAATCTCATGCAATTTATATACATATATCATTTGTGTTCATTGTAGCCATTGTGGCACATTTTGCTCAATATCTCTCTCTCTCTCTCTCTCTCTCTTCTTCCGCACGCACGCAGCATGTGAGCTCTTGCGTTCACATAAACTACCACAATAAGTGATGTGTACTTTTTGTGTTTGTACCATTAAGAAGTGTCAACCTTAAAGATTTCATTTGAACAAATAAACGAGAGTACGTCGCTGTAATTCATACATAAAATGCTCTGACATGACGAAAATCTACATGAAAATATGAAATGGTTGTTTGCACAAATGTTAAATTTAACAAATTCCATATGATAAACGTTGAAGAGAAAATTAGCCCAAAACCAAATTATCGTCGAGCATATTTGTCATCATCATCATCATCATAATCATCATGTGTAAATGAGTGAGAGTGAATAAACGAACGTTTATGTTGTGTGTGTGTGTGCCTGAGAGTGTTAATAGGCTATGTGTGTTGCTTTCAAATGAAGCAGTAATAAAAATTGGAAATGAATTCTCGAAGGCATTCTCATTGATCGAGCTATTCGGATATTTGCATCCACGTACCAATGACTGGTTTGATGGCCTATTTACGAGCATCTTTCGTGATATGAACATTTCACCCATCGTCGAACAAGAGGTAAGCATTCAATTTTGATCGAAAATATTTGCTGCGGTTTTAAGACAATTACTTCCATTACTTCCAATACCGAAATTGAAAACATTTTTGCCAAAGCAAAGCAGCAGCAGCAGCGGCGGCAATAGCAATGAAGCAAGAGTAGAACAAGAGCGAACATTGCGAACGTTGCCTTATTTATTGCCTGGTTTTAAGGTCTCCGTAGTTAATTAAATCCAAGTGAACGTTTTCCTTTATTGGATTCAACTGTTTGTTTTTATAAATACACTTCGATAGGTTTGTGAACAGAGAGCGAACTTTTCACGTTTGCTGACTCTCCCGGACCTTGAACATTTCGTTCTAACGGTTGAAACGCTGACGGGATTTAATTCACTCGTAGAACAAATGTTCTGAAAATTCACGATATGTTGGATGAAATTGCGCAAAAATTGATGCCGACTTCCGTGCCGTTCTTTGCGGCTAGCACCACAAAATACCAACAGCCACACACGCAAAAAAAAAATTAAATATTTTTTTCTGGATGGTGGCGAAGCATCTTTAGCAAATTGCTGCGCACATAAATTTTAAAGCAAATGTCTACAATGAACACCTGGCAATAAATGTTCAATGTGCTCTAGCATAAAATGCGTTTTATTACATCATTTCGGGTGGTGGCGTTACTTTTTTTCCCTCATATTCTCACTCTTCCTCTATCTGTCTCCCGTTCTTCCATCTCTTTTCCGTTAGGAACGTCGATATATTTGCTTCGATGGTGATTTGGATCCGGTGTACATCGAAAATATGAAGACCATAATGGACGATAGCAAAATGTTGACATTGGGAAATGGCGAGTGTATTCGTTTGGAAAATCATTGCACAATCCTATTTGAGGTGAGCAAAACAAAATTAAAGTTAAATTTATGATGTTCATCTTATTTCGTGTCCATCGTCCATTTTGTGTGCCACTTGATTTCCCAATTTCGGGCGTTTTTCTTTTTCTTTCGGGATGTTGGTTCAAAAACATTCGGACGGTGGTGGATATACTGGTGAACATCTATGATACCGTATCGTTTGATTTGAAACGGATCGTTTGTTTTTCTTATACGATGTTTCCACATGATACGACGATGTTTGTTACTTATGATACAACCGCTCGCATCCCGTAACTGCCAAACTGATCTCATCTCGTCGCAACAATCAGGTATTAGAGCTATATGCCACATTTTCGCATGAAATGCGGTATACATACATCGATATATATATATTATAAACACTAGACAAATGAAGTAATTTTTGGTGGTGGTGGTGCGTGTGCGTGTGTGTGTCTTTCTTTCTTTTTTTTCTGCCTGTATTCAAACGCATACAGATTGGGAATTTGGTTTACGCTTCACCTGCCACCATATCAAGAGTTGGAGTGGTTTTCGTTGATTCGAATCAATTGGGTTATAAGCCATTTTGGCAGCGTTGGTTACGGGCCCGGCCCAAACACCAAACCAGAATATTACAGGTACATTTGCACGTGATTTATCGTTATTGCTTCAAAATGAAACATGCGAAAGCAATCGATTTCAGCGTTTTTTTTATTGTTGTTGTTGTTGTTTTTATTCCATCTGTATTTATTATTGTTTGTTGTTGGTGGCGGTGGTGCCGTTTTTCGATCTGGAATTTTTAACACCATTTAATAGACTTATATTTCACTCTTTCATTGCGAATGTGAAATGTTTGCTCGTATTAATGTTAATTAAAATTTCCTCCTACAAAAACTCATTAAAAATATTGCATGTTCGCCCGCATATGTTGCTGCTGCTGCTGCTGCTGCTCGGATTGTACACGCTGCCGAACCGAACGCCGTTGCCATTTGTCTGCATCACTCCTCCGTTCGTAAACACCATATTGGCGAGTGAACGAAACGAAAAAAAAACACATAACCATAATGGTTTTACGATACAGCGACTGTTTGATAGATTTATTACACCGTGCATAGATTACATTATCGATGGATTGAATAATATGCGCAAGCAAAATCCATTGAAAAGAGTCATTCATCAAACAAATCTGAATATGGTAACTCAATTTTGTTGTATGTTCGATACAATGTTTCCAACATTAAAAAGCTCGAGCAGCATGGCAATGACTGGAGCGACGGTGATTTCATCGAAAACAGCATCCATTCCAATGACGAGCGCAACGTCAACGTCGATTGATGATGATGCGATAATTGAATGTGGCTTCATTGATGTAAAGATACAAAATGTTCATTTTTTCCTGCCAATTTCTGGTTAGATTCTTGTGCAGCAGCTTACATGCGGCAGTAGTTTTTAGCACCGTTGTCTGAGTAGTTGTAGTAGGGTGTTTTGCCCATCCATTACTATTCCCGGGTAACTAGCAAGCTTTGTTGACTCTGATGCACTCTATTGATTTGAAATTTGAATTCAATTTATACATTTATGGTAGAATAGCAACAGCTAGCAAAATGCATTTTCGTATTTTGAGTGAACGGTGTGTCTCACTCTCACCCCTCACAAATCACGAAGCACGCTCGGAATTCTCTCAAATTTCAGTGAATGTGTTTGTGTGTATGTGTGCGTCACAATGCTTTCGTATCGAAATTATTGAGCTGCACTGATGTTGAGACCATCACTGTAAGAGAACTTTGCACGCGCATCGATGGAATTAGTGACAATCCATCGAAACTCACACAACTACATTCAATCGATAATTTTGTAAATATCAATCCACTTTTGATTGTGTTTCCAATTTTTGCCTGTGTCAGCGTTTGTTCATCAGTTATTGACACGCTTTACTTTTTGTTCTTTAATCTTTGCTGTTGCTGCTGCTGCTGATGGTGGTGGTGGTGGTGTGTGTGAATTATTCAATCGTTTGCCAGTGTCTGTATAAATCGTTTGGCGCTGCATTGCTGGAAGCAGACACCATTCGTTTCGATGAATTTGTGAAGAATCTTATGCAAAAATCCGAAATTGATGACAACAATGAGCGGCCGGCCAACTTTGATGAGTGTCCCACTTCAAAAAAATCATTATTTGACTACTATTTTGATTGTAATCGAGCCGCATGGATTGCTTATGATTGGATCGTACCACAACATATACACGATGTTAATCTCAAATTTAATGAGATTTTCGTTCCAACTGCTGATTTCGTTCGAATCAGTCAGATACTAAATCAACTGAATAATGTATGTATTGTATACACTTGAAACGCAACGATAGACGAGCGAACGAATATCGAAGCAACGCCAAGAAAATCGAATTGATTAAAGAATAAGAATGCTGAGATGAGATTTCTCTTTTTTCTTTCTTCTTCTTCTTCTTCTTCTTCTTTTCTGTTCTTTTTTTCCCTTTTCTTGTTCTGGTGTGTGTGTGTGTGTGTCTATTTCCTTTCCAGATCAATCATCCGTTGCTGCTGGTTGGTGATACGGGAACAGCGAAAACAGCGAGCATGCTAAATTATTTGAAAAATTTGAACGCCGATAGAAATGTAAGATTTTGTGATTTGTCGCGCGTTTCGTTTTTTTTTCTTGTCCTGTTGTTGTTGGCTTGATTTTTGTTTATTTCGCCCTTTGCGCGTTGTGTGTCATATACCCTGTCATTTTTTTATGGTAGGAGAATGCAACGATAGCACACTTCCAAAGATCAAGCCACCAGTCGATTTGAGTGCGTGGTGGTGGTATCATTTGTGATGCCCGTCGCCTACCCTCTTTTTTGTAACATTTTTTTTCTTTGTTCCCTTTCGGAAGTGTTCTCGCACGTCTAACGAGTGTAAAATTGACACACAAAAAATACAATTATTGTTTTTCAGCTCACAACACAAATTGTCTTCTCATACACAACATTATCATTACATGTAAAACATGCCATTGAATCATCAACGGAGAAACGAACCAAAGACATTTTCGGACCGACACTGGGAAAGCGTTTAACCGTATTTATTGATGATTTGAACGCACCAAAAAAAGATTGGTACGCGCGCGTGAGAGAGAGAGAGAGAGAGAAAATCAAATACTCAAATAAAAAACGAAAAAGAAGAAACGAAATGCGAACGGTATAACGACCGATTTTTTTCTTCTGCCACCGAAGAGAGAAAAGAATTGAAAACGAATCAAAATGAAAAATATACAGCAAAAGGGAAAGCACAGCAGTCGCGGTGGCGATAAAAATGAACGAATGAACGAGAAAAGAAAAAAAAATGCAAATATTCTTTCAATTTTTTTTTTGTCTCTCTGTTTCTGGGTTCGTGTTTGCGTGATTGTTTTCATTCTGATTTCTTGAAACGAAAATAACATTGAATCGCGCGAATGAAGCAAGAGAGCGCGCGCGAAAGAATGTTTTCCTTAATTTTCACTCATCGTCACACTTTTCGATTCATTTTATATTTATATTCTTTTTTTTCGTTTTTCTTCCTGCTGCCAGAGATCGTCTCACACCTCCTGCTCCCGTTATTTTTTTTCTGCTTTCGTTCACATCCTCGGTCGGTTATTCTGTTTCGCCTTCTGCTCTTCTTGTGCTGGATTTATTTTGAATTTCCTTCCAATTACGGATTTCTTTAATTTTGCATCTCATTCTCAAACCTAGGGGAATCACTCACTTTCCAAATGATGTGAATCTTACGAATCTTATGAATCTTTTGTTTACTGAAATCCAATATGGCGACTGACAGTTTTGTCGCCATTTTCAATTTGGATTCACGAGATTAATCAGATTCATCATATTCATGACGATTCGTTCACAGTAACGTGTTGAATCTGAGTGAATCTTTTGAATCTGTGTGTAAACATAAGAATATTGTTTGAATTTGGAAAAAGACTTCAATCATACAAACTGCATTGAATGATAAATTCCCCTAGTCTCAAACACGAACGAGAAGATGTCGAAAAAAATATCTCACATTTAAATCCTTTTCTTTTCTTTTTGCCTTGCTGACTCGTACACGCCTCACCACCACGCCACACCGTGCGCTGTGTTTTCGGCTCTTCGAAAATTGTTGGCGCATTCCAACACACAAACACACACACTCGCACAGTTTTGGAACACAACAACCGATCGCATTATTGAAATTGCTTTTCGAAAAGGGTGGAATGTTTGATTGCGACAGAGATTTAAGATGGAAAATATTCAAAGATGTTTGTTATTTTTGTGCAATGACAACGCCAGGCGGTGACCGGAATGAATTAGATGCACGTTTTGTATCACTATGCGCTACATTAAATATTAATCGGCCCACCGATGCAATCGCGTTCAGCATTTATAAATCCATCCTACGAGGTCATTTGGCCGACTTTTCGCCGGATCTACATCCCATTTCGGATACACTAATTAAGATGACACTGAGATTATTTAAGGTAAGCGCGTCGCATTGCCGTTGTGTACACAACGGCAATGAGCCGTGTATTCGATTCGTCAACGATGATAGCGCATCATTTCATTTGGTGAGCTCAAGGCAAATGCCTTAAATTGATAAGATTGGAAATATACATATGCATTATATTTTTCACGTTCGTTATTATGATATTATTTGTATTCATTGTGTCTTTCTTGATTGTGTGTGTGTCTGTGTGTCTGTGGATGACGTATTTCAATGTTCATGGTTTCACATGCGTGCCGTCGTCCATACCGAATAAACGCTTAATCGACATCGCACTTGGAATAGATTGGCATTTTGAAGCTTCCACCAGCAACACCAAGCAAGTTCCATTACACATTCAATCTGAAAGATTTATCAAGAATTTGCTGTGGAATGTTAATGATTCACCCAAGCCTATTTATGTTGCCCAAGCAGTTGGTGCGACTTTGGCGGAATGAATTTACTCGAGTTATTTGCGATAGACTTACAAGTGAACAGGTAACGATGAGCTTTTTTTCTCTCTCTTTTTCTCTTTCTCTCTTTATTTTCCAACAAGAAATGACGACAATCAGGCAACGCACACTGCAAAAAAAAATGAATGGAAAATACCAAATGAAAAATATACACGACGCTCAGAACGACACCAAGCAAGAAAGAGTCGCTTGGTGTTGGTTCTTTTTTTATTTTTTAAGTTTAATTTGTTTGTGTTTATTTTCACGCGTCGCGGCTTATTTGCACGGCGAGACCGCCACACTCGACTGTAAGCGAAACAAGTCGAGTGTGTGTGCAAGGACAACGTGTTCGTTTATTCGTGATTTTGATGGTGGCGTTGTTATTTGCTGCCATTTCTATACACACGCCAGATTATTCCGTTCGCCAAATAGATTTTATCTTTCATTATATGCATCTAATATTTATTTAATGCGTGTTACAAACAAGAAAAGCATTTTTAAAATGAATACTTTTGTTATTTCATTCTTATACGTTTTTCTTTTTTACTTCGTCTCTGTCTCCTTCTTGTTCTTGTTCTTGTTCTTCTTTTTCTTTTCTCCTTTTCTTCGGTTCCTTTGTGCTGATCGCGGCCGCGCGTCACGTCATTCGCTATTCTGCATTGTGTTCCGAAATCGGTGGCAATAATGCGTGTATACATGCTTTTATTGCGGTTACAAACCATATCTGCCACGATCAACGGGAATAAACGACGGTATGTGTATGTGTATTGTTTGCATTACACTGCTATTGGAATGTGTTGCGGTTATGCTAAAAACATCAACGACGATGATGATGACGACGGCGGCGACGGCGACGGCGACGGCTATGATGGCGATACTGTGCTACTAACGGCTCAAACTTCGACAATGAATTGCTCGAAAAAAAAGGACGTTAAACTAATGAAGAAATTCATTTCTGAGGAGATAATGCTGAGTTTTCCTGCGCCACATAAATTAGATTTATCGGTACACAGCGATATAAATGAAAGCGGCGATAATGAAAAAGGTGAAATAATTGAAGGTTAGCTTCAGCATTAATTATCTTGTTACATCTAAATTGTTCTATGTTACAGAATTTTGTATTTTATGCTCGGCGCCAAAATCTTTTTCTCTCTCTCTCTCTCTCACTCTCACTCTCTTCTCTCTGGGTTGTTTTGTTCGCCCCGAACATTCCACATCAATTTTCCATCCGCGCGCACGCCATTCCACTCTAATATGCAGCACATGTATAATTCAGTACATATATTATAATACACCCGGCGCTTAAACAGCCGAGAGTTGTGCGCTGCATACTTGTTTAGCGCCGAGATATTCGGCAATCGAGTGGCTGGTGTGAGTGGCGAGCGAATGAACGAGGTAGTGAAAGAGTGAGCGAAAGGTTCCCGAGCAAAAAAGGAGAAAGAGAAGACGAAAAAACAGGCATCCAAAACGCGTGCCTTTTACAGCATTCCATGGCCTTTCTCTCACTCTCACTCTCTCTCACACTCTGTCCGCATCATGACATCGAGCACCGAATACAAAACTCTGGAAACAATATAATAAATATGAAAATCATATCATTTGTATTATTTTCTTGTATAGGCAATCAAGCCATAGACATTTCTATTCACGAATATGCGCTACGTGATCCATTGCTGTTCGGTGACTATCGAAATATGATTAATGAAAATGAACCACGGTTCTATGAAGATTTGCTTGATTACGAAGCCATTTATTTTTTATTCCAAGAGGTACTTATGATTTCGCCATTCCATTCTCCACTTTCCGTTTTATTTTCTTCCATTTCAGCAGTTTTCGCAGACATATCAGCTTCCACTCCCTAGATGAGATCTCTTTCTCTATCGCACATTCACATATACACGCACATCACACGCTCAAAAGATTTCACTCATACCAACTTCCCACTCCCATGTAGATACTCCGGTGAAAATCTCAGAATTAGCGTAAGCGTCGCTTATTTTACACAAATTTTATCTATTTACAGATCTTGCAAGAGTATAACAATCGTGTATGCACTCTGAATTTGGTTTTATTTGACGAGTTTTTGGAACATTTGACACGGGTACATCGTACTTTGCGCCTACATAGGTATGCACGCATTGTGTGCCATCGGCAATAACAATGAAAATGCTTTGTGAATGGGAAACGCCTAACTATTTTAAATAATTTACGATTTCTTTGGCAATTGTGCACATACGAAAACCAAAAGAGGACACGTACTACTAGTTGGACCGGAAGGTTGTGGGAAAACGTCTACCGCCAGGCTCGCAGCATTTACTGCAGGTTTGATTTTGTCACCTCGGAAATCATTTTCAATTTTTTCCTCTCTGTCTCTCGCTTTCGATACACGTGATGCGATTACGCATGATACATTACCGTTAGGTTGGTTTCGACCATGAAAAAAAACAACGAGAGCAAAAAAATCGGTTACATTATGTGGATTTAACATTTGTAATCAGCACGATAAAATGCGTTAAAATGCATATTTTCGGATTTTTGCCACGTTATAACAGTTTTAAAACTGAAAGTGGGTGGCAATTCAATCGAAAAAACTGATTACATTTTTTGTTCAACATTTAAACCGTTTATATGCGAATTATGGTTTTGTTTTTAAATTCTCTTCACTCGTTTCTCTCTCTTTCTCTCTCTCTCTCTCTCTCTCTCTCTCTCACTTACTCTCGCTCTCTCACTTACTCTCGCTCTTGCTCGCATTGCTGCAATCGAAATCTGGTGGTAATGGTAATGATACCACATGAAACAGGTTGTGAACTGTTTGAAATCGTACAAAGCGAGGGATATAATGAAAATCGCTTTCGAAACGACCTCAAATTACTGTTTACACAGATTGGAGTCCACAACAAACGAACCGTTGTCTTATTTTCAATTATCAACGATCAGGTGAGCCAATCAAGTGGTGTTGAAATATTTTTCAATGTTCGCTCTGTTTTTTTTTTTTATTTAAATCACATGGAATTCGAGAAATGCGCGGAAAATTCGATTTTATCAATACATGATTTAATCTGGGTCCGAACGAGAAAAAAAATCAATGCTTGGGTGTAAAGTTTCTGTCATTCGATGAATTTTACCGCATTTTATGCAGATGACGAAGAAATTTTCATCTCATTTTTTTTCTGTTTGGTTGGGCATTGAAAAAACCGTGAGATGATATCTTTTTCCGAGTGAATTTAGTATTATCATGATTTTAAATGTTGGAAACTGTTAATAAAGGTAATGTAGCCGTTTGGTTTAAATTAATTCGAATGATCCACACATAAATTCGTGCAAACTGTTGACAAATTCACTGAATGATTAAAATTCACCGACTGATTGAAATTCACGTTTGCCATTTTTGGTACAAATGACTTAAGTCTTTTGCGCATCATATAAATCATTCACGGATCACACGAATCTGTTTAACCGTTTTTGGTTGACTCGTTCGCCGTTTTGTGCATTGATTGAAATTGGTGCGATTAATATTTCCACTGTGATTTCCGTGCATTGGTATTCCAATTTTTTTTCTTCGGGGAAGTGCCGTTGCTACACAGCTTCAACCGAATTATTTTATCAATTTATTGCGAACATTTAATTATATTTTTTTTTCTCAGATGGACAAAATGTCGGCCTATTTTTTGGAGATCATAAATAAAACCATTACAGTGGGTATAACTGATGATTTATTTTCGGCGAGCGAAAAAGCTCAAATTATTGATGACTACAGCGAATGGATTAATAAAAACAATGATGAAATGGCTATGAGGTACGTTATATGTACCTGTTATATATGTGCACTTTGGGTGCGGCGCTTCGCTCTCGCCGTTTCCATTGGCGTCATTGTCGGAGCTACAGCGAAAGGAAGGGAGATGTGCGAAAAAGAGAAAATAAAAAGTCTCCTCTCCTCCACATTCAATTTGTGTTACAATTTTTTTTTTCATTCACTGTTTTGAGCAAATGGGTATAGACGTGTTTTTTTATCTTCCCTCTCTGGACATCTTGTCCTGCAGTGCCGAATTATGGAACCACTTTTTAGCCAACTGCAATGAGAATATTCATTTTGCATTGCTCATGAAACCGAACGAAGCATTTCGCTTGCACTGTCGCCGCTATCCAGGTCTAATTGGAAATACTTCAATTGACTACATGCGTCCGTGGAGCGAACAAGTGCTTACAAAAGTAGCGAACGTTTTTTTGGTCGGACATCCAATGATAGCTGAAAACCATCTCGACGGAATTGTCAAGCATGTCGTGCATGTACACAATTCCGTACACAATTATTCGGCTCGCTTTTTGACCGAATGTGACCGCTTGAATTTCGTAACTCCCAAACACTATCTGGAATACATTCACACAAACATTCGTTTGATAGGTTTGTATGGGCGGTGCGATCTTGTTTTTTTTGGTCCACTGTTGTCATTTCATCTTGTTCCTTGTTTGTGAAATTTAATATTCGAAATGTTTCAATTTTTTTCTTTCTTATGGTGTGTGCTTGTGTGCGCTGGTTAACAGAGGAAAAAAATCGATATTTGGCCGAACGATGCAATCGTTTGTCTGCAGCCATTTCGAAATGTGAAGAATTGTCGGAAAATTTAAATCAACTGTCGTTGCTGGCGAAGGAACAGCGGGAGAAAATGCAATTGTTGAAGATAAAGTGCAAGGAAATGGTCGACAATATCGAGAAAAGTAAGGAGTTCACCGAATTTATTTTTTGCTTCTCTTCCATTTTTGGCTCCGTTTAAATAGTCATAAATTCAGAAATGGCTCTGAATATTTTTATTGAATAAAAATCAATTTGAAATTTAAATGTTGCGATTGAGTGGCTTTTTGCGTTGACACTTCACTTTAACATGATTTACTGCTTCGAATTCGATGTTGAAATTGTGAATAGCGCAAGTAATCGTCTTACCAACGGTCTTTTCCACGAATGCTGATTTCCATTTTTGAAAAGTGATGCATTTAATTTTGAATTATGAATACCGCGTACACTGATTGATGCTGAAGAGATTCACTTTGCATTATTTTCATTCTTCTCTTGATTTCGTTACGTTTCCATCCACTGATTGTTTTATTCGTTTGCCCCGAAACAACAACGGAAAATTCTAGATATCAATATCGTTCAGGAGAAAGCTGATGAAGCGCTTCGAAAGCAATCGGAAATTGTGGCCAAAAGTAAAAACATTGCAATCGAAAAGGAGAAAATTGAAATGACAATAATCGATGCGTTACAGCCGCTGAAAGCAGCCAAGTTAGCATTAATTGAATTTAAACGAGATACAATTGCTGATATGCTGGAAATGGAGTCGCCGCCCGAAGACGTTGAAGTGGTCGCCGAGTGCTTTTTCATATTGAGAGGCATTCGAGATATCTCATGGAAGAATGTGCGCAGCGCAATGCTTGAAGACGATTACTTCAGAAGCCTTTCAGAAATGAATTGTGATTTAATTAGTCTGAAGCAACTATTACAGTGCAAGGGTCACTTAAAAGTAAGTTCCATGTAATTTACCGATTGAGCATTTCGATCACTGTCTCTTGAATCTTTCATTCTAATGCTGTGTTAATCTTTGACCGGACCTTCAATTTTCACAATCCAACAGAAATGCGATCTAAGCCAATTGGAAACAACGTCACCGGGATTCTTTGAACTATTCAAATTTTTAAAAGCAGTCGTGACATACTGCGACATCCTCAAAGACATCCATCCGAAGCGTACACGGCTCAAAATGCTCGAGAATGAAGTCGAAGAATCAATAAATGTGCTGCAAATGTTGAATGTCGAACAAAATCAATTGGAAATCGAATTGGACGAGTTGAGACAGCAGCATGTGAGCGCTACTGACGAAAAGCACACGCTAAAAGCCATGCTATGCGAAACCGAAACCAAATTGGTAAAGTGAATTGAAGAGTTTATCATTTTATTTGTGTGCATGTGTGTGTGTGTGTGTGTGTATATATATGCTGTGCGACTTTTATCAATGTTTATTCTCTCAAGCTCCAGTATTTCTTTTTTGTTTTGTCTGCACAATAACTAGTTACATTCATTTTCTTTGAATTGTCTATATTATTTTCTGTGTTTCTCTCTCTCTCTCTTCCTCTCTATTCGTCTCTTGTGTCTTTTGCCCATTTCCCAAACAGAAAATATCAACGAAATTGGTCGATGAACTGAATCCAGAGAGGAGCAGATGGGTATCGAATTTGTCGGTTCTGGAAAATGAAAAAGATAATGTCATTGGAAATTGCTTGCTGACAGCATCGTTTCTTACATACACCGGCTGCTTCTCAATGTCATTCCGCAAGGAAATGATATTTGACGATTGGCTGTGCGACATTCACACAAGAAACATTCCAATTGGTGACGTTTTCGATGTTCTCGATCTAAATGATATTGGCTCATCTCAGTATGTATCACTGGAGAGACTCAATCTCTCTTTTTCTCGTTCGCGTGCACAAGTCTGTGTCATGCGAATGCGTTCGCAGTTATTATTACTTACGTTACTCCTTGCAAGTGTTTCCCATAATCTCATGTATTCTTGTCTCTCACTTGAATTGCAGATCGTTCGATGCTGATGCTGGTGCTTCTGACGATTTACTTGCCGATGAATTTTTCAAGCAAAATCGAATGATATTGTCAAAAACATTAAGAACACCGATTTGTATAGATCCACAGTTTAAAGCAATCGAATGCATTAAAGCAGCGCATCAACGTCAAAATAATGTTAAATTTCTGCGATTTGATGCGGATGATGCCATCGGTGAATTGCTAAAAGCCATCGCTCTCGGCGAAATCGTTGTATTCGAAGATGTGCACACTCAAATTGATCCAACATTGATGGATTTACTCGAGATAAAGCTACGAGGTTTCCATCATTTTCCCCATTCTCACTCTCTCACACACACGCAATATCACTTCGTTTTTTTTTCAAATAAATTTTTGCATTCTCTTCTCTTTTCTCGGTTTCTCTTCCATTTTGTTCTCTTTTTTTTTTGTTGGTAGAAAAAGACAACCGAAAATTTGTGAAAGTCGGCCCAATCGAAATCGAGTTTAACGACGGTTTTCGCATGTATTTGGTTAGCCAACGGTCGAATCCGAAATTCAGTGCACACGTTTATTCGAGTGCCGTTGTCATTAATTTTAATACAACGTTGCCGTCATTAGAAAATCAGTTGCTAGACATTGTTTTCGAAGCGGTTGATGGTGAATTAGCAACGGAACGTGCATCATTGTATGGTTCAGTTGCCGCAAATCACAAACGACTTGTCGAATTGGAAGCCGGCTTACTCACACAGATCGCATCATGCGATGGGAATTTACGCGATAATCCAAACACAATGAAATTACTGGAATCGACAAAGCTCGAAGTTATACAGCTCAATGCAATGGTATTTACGAATGAAAACACCTTAACGACTATCGAAACGAAACGAAATGATTTTCGATTGATTGCATTGAAAGCCGCCAGTTTATTCTTTGTGCTAGCCGATATGGCGGCTATAGATCCATTTTACCAGCACGCAATGTGCGATTTTATTGAAATTTTTACGCAGATAATGGCCTCCATACAGACTCCGGATGATGGGCCAAGTAATCGTATGGTTGGCATCGATTTGAATCAACGCTTATTGAAAATAATTGCCGATTTAAGCAAACGGATTTATAATATCGGATCGATGGGAATTTTTCAAAAAGATAAACTACTCTTTTCCCTACGCATCGCCATGGAGCTGGAGTATTATGACGGAAGACTTCTACGTAATGAGATTGACTTTTTGTTCAGACCAATCGGTGGGGCTGTGCATGTGCCGAACACCACCACACCCGATTGGCTATCAAATCAACAATACAATGACGCACACGAACTGATGACTGCATTTCCAACGGTATTTTCTGACTTTTTGAATCAACTCAGAGTAAATGCTAACCAATGGCAAGAGTGGCTTCAAGCGAAAACTCCAGAATCAATTAATTGTCCCGAACCGTATGTCATGGGTATAACACTTTTTCAGGTAGCTACCAAATTTCATTGATGTTTTCCAATACAAAACGATCTTTGTCATTGGCAAATACACACACTCAAAAAAAACGAACGAACGGTTCGAATTTACTTGAGTGGAATGTGTTTCTCTAAATTCTCAATTTCAGAAACTGTTAATTCTACGATGTTTCCGCCCCGACCGCTTACTGCCAGCCATACGAACCTACATAAGAAGCACAATCGGTGAAGACTTTTTAATATCACCTGTTGTTGACTTCAATCAAATATTCACGTCATCCGCACCGAATGTACCCATTCTTGTGTATCCAACCGACGGAATGGATCCAATGCATCAAATATTGAGACTGTCGCATAATTACCATGGAGCAAATATTATTTCAATCGATCACACAGCCAACGATGTACGTAGATAGCAACGTTTAGTAAATTTAACTGTTTCATCGAGTTTTCAGGGTCCGGATGTGTGTATAACTTATACACGTATAAGTGTGCGCATTGTGCGGCAGTTAATGTATACAATATATACACACACTGTAAACACCTCCAAAATCAATTTCCAAAGATTTATCGGTCCTCCGAATATCTACGTGAATCGACAGAAAATGCTTATTTCACACACGCTCTCTCTCGCTCTCGCTCTCTCTCTCTCTCTCTCTCCATCTCTATTTCTCTTTTTCTCATTCTCTCGTTTGCAGATAATTATTTCACAATTGAACGAATCGATAAGGACGGGCCAATGGTTGATTTTACAAAGCGGTGCACACACAAAGACACAGATAATTAAACGAATAAATCATTTATTAGACATCAAAGAATCAAATGAGTTTCGTCAAGATTTTCGATTATGGATAATAATAGTACTGGAAACAAAGGCATTTCCACTTGAAATGTTACAAAGATCATTCAAAGGTTTATCACAATTTATTCACAATGTGAATGTGTGTACACAGTCACACATACACACACCGAGTGATAGAGAGACTAAATCGGGCATTGGGATTCGGATTCGGTAGCGTTGACAGCATTGAGTGGGCCAGAATGGGCAAGAACTGTTTATTTATTGTTACGAATTCATGTTGAAAGATGAAGAGAGAAGAAGGCATGAAGTGTCTTAAATTCAGACTTTGGAAAATAGCCGCTTGCTTGTGTGCTACGATTTTCCATCGTTTCGTGGGTTTTGTTTCCATTTTCTGCTCCATTTTGTTGCTTTCCCTTGATTGTTCCGTTTTACTTTCCGCCATATTCCACTCTTTAGCTTTTCTGGTCTGCTCATCGTATTCGTCGGCCCGGTTGAAGAAACAAAAAATTGTTGCCCTTAAACGAAAAATAATCGAGATTTGAAAACCGATTCCGAATTTTGTGTGTGTGTGTGTGTGTGTGTCGACAATGTACAAATTCATTTTCATTCTCTCACTCTCTCTTTTCCATCTTTTTTTTTCTTCATAACGGTGTCCCGTTTTCGGTTCGTTTTACAGTGGTGTACGAAAGGGCAAACGGCATCAAACAATGCTTACAAACAACTTTTGCAAACTTGGAGGATTCTTCGATCGAACGATGTTCACACAAATATTTTAAGCCGCTACTTTACGTCCTGACATTTTTCCATGCAGCTATGCAAGTAAGCATTACCTTGAGCAATCCACCCTCAGCATCATTATCACCATTACCCAATATATAAAATATCATTTGTTTCGTTTACGAATTTCTCTTCATAAAACACACGAAAACTGTCGAGAAAAATTCGCTCGCTGTGATTAATCTCAAAGCGCACCAAATTCATAAAGCGTAAATTCATTAGGCCTATTTATTTTCGTTGTGAGTCACAACCGTTTTCGTGTATTGTGTGAACAGAAGAGACAAAGAAAAAAATATGAAATCGCATGAACCAAATGAAAACACACGAGCACATTTTCATTTCAAGCTTTTCTCTCTCTCTCTCTCTCTCTCTCTCTCTATTCTAAAACATAATTCCTATTCTTCTCCGGTTATTGCATGTGCTAACCCGCTCTGGTTCCATCATTTCACTCGTGAACACATGAAAATGCAGGAGCGTTCAAAGTTTGGCAAAATCGGCTGGAATGCTAATTACGATTTTAATGAATTTGATTATGACACAAGCGTGCAAGTTTTGAGCTCGTCCTTACAAAGTACCACTTGCTCATTTGAAAGCGGATTTCAATGGAACGACTTGAAATTCTTGATTGGAGAGGTAAGTGAATGATGTGTTGTGTATCTTTTCCCGTTCTGTTTTTGTTTTCATCTATTCGTATCGTTTTGCTCGCTGTCGCGTGTTGCGTGCACGCATATTCGCAATAGATCGATGATGTCAATTTCATAGACAAACTGAAACTGCGTCGAATAAATATGTATTTTTTTTTACTCTCTTGCTCTCGCGTTCGGTTCGGTTCTTCTTCCAAAATTAATCGAAGCAAGAGCAAGTACCTCAGCGATTTGAGTCAATTAATCAATGAGTTTTATGTGTAAATAATTTATTCAAATGTTTTTGCTCATTTCAATTTAAATAATTATCCGTTGGAAATGTACGAGCGCACGATTGTTGTTTTGCTTCGCGTACCGGTACCGGTACCGTTTCGCACAAAATTCTACGACTGAATTTCAAAAATACCAGCGTAGAGTTAGTGTATAGCGAAATCAAATGCAAGCAAACGAGTGAGTAAGTGAATGAAAACTGAAACGATGCGAAATCAATTAGTGATTTCAATGTGTACCAGTCTTAAGTTTAATGCTCTTCTAATTTTCATTGCATACAGATGGTTTATGGTGGAAAAGTTCTCGATAACTTTGATAGACGAATACTGCTTGCATATTTGGATGAGTATCTCGGCGACTTTGTCTTTGATTCATTCCAACCATTCCACTTTTACAAAGGCCACCAAGCAAACTATGCAATCCCATATGCAGCCAACTCGAAAATGGATTTTTTACGTAAGTTTCCCTGCATCTCTCTCTCTCTCACTTTATCTTAATTTTCCATTGAATTTGTGTGTCGTTGGGTGCAGGTTGGGTTCAGTTCGGTTCGGTCTTTCGGTCGGATGACAAAAATTCACAAAGTGCGATTCAAACAAATACTTAAATTAAATCGAAACGCAATTCTCATTGAATACAAAACGGTTTTCGTACAATGTCTTTATTGTTCCAAGTTCACGAAAACTGCTTTAGTTAACAAATAGTACTCCATATGCTTCCAAGGTTGTGTGTGCGCTTATGCATTGTATGGAGATTACATTGTTTATCTGAAAATTGTCGTAGTAAAACTTTGTTTCGATGCTTTCCAACAAGAATAATAATGTGCCAACATTTGCCTTCGCGTTTCATTCCATTCCACATAGTTTTTGCAATCCTTTTTCCACGCATTGACCGATAGGACATCATTGCGTCAAACTCCACCAGCGAATGTGCAACAGTGTTTTTTTTCTCGCTTCGATTTGCCTCTACATAATTCGTTTCTTTATTTTTCTCTCAATTTTTATACTGCGAAAAAAAAAACAACAGACGCAATTAAGGGACTTCCATTAACTAATGCACCTGACGTAATCGGTCTGAATGACAGTGCCGAAATTGCATACAACCAACAATATATTAAATACATTTGGCAGCGACTCCCGCAGTGCAAGGTTCACCAAACAGGTTTGTATTCTCATATTGGTTTCTGCATATTTAATCATGCTTCTGTTTTACGGTCGGAAAATAATAATTGATTTCTCTGTTTGCGGTTGATTAAATACAAAATGAACACTAGTAATTTGAATATTTTCGTAAATCAATTTTATGAGAAGTGTTTCGCTGGAATTGTTTTTGTTCATTTAAATTGCATGTTTTTTTTTTTTCAAAGAGAAATTTGCCATCCTCTGTGAGTAATGTTTTTTCTTCTCCGAATATCGCATTTGTCCTCGTCGATGATGCCGCTGTCGTCGTCGTCATCTTCGTCTTCATCTTTTTTAACACACAGAAAACTCTCTGTTTTACAAGTAAATTATTTAAAAATTTCATTTTCATTTCACTTTCATCTGTTCGAGTAATTTCATTCAAAGGCATTTTTGTTTCATACTATTTTCCGTTTCATTCTCATGCTGCTGCCGATGACGATGATGGCTTGTGATGTGGCATTATCGCTTTGCGATCTTTTTGTTTGCGTTGAGTTTATGAGAATTTGTGTACGTATCATGTTGTATGTTGCCGAGAGTTGTCTAATGTTTGTGCAATTTCCTTTCCATCAGACTTCGTCGTCGTAGTGGTTGTCGTAGCTTCGGAAAAATCTGAATTCAACGAAGAAAAAACAAACATATTGCGTGTGCAAATGTTTCATGGGATGCGAAACATTATAGATATATATATATATACATATATGGCGGCCTTGCTGTTTCGCTAAACATCGAAACGCTAATGTTATACATACAATCCATATCCATACACAAACAATTATTTTTTTCTAATTAAAACAAAATTATTCAATGGCAACATTTTTAATAAATTATGATTGTTTCGAAGAAGTTTTATTTGAGATTTTGTATTTAATGTGCGCCTTTGCATCGGTCGATGGATTGAGGTTTGTCGTGCGTTCACTTCTCACACTTTGCATTCTTGTTCAACCAAGTACGATGTTCAGACTGAGCAATTTTCACATTGTTCGGTTCGTTTGGATGGAGTGTATGTGTGTGCGTGTTGCAAAACGCGCAATTCGTTGGGCCCTTAATTTCAATATAACCAAGTCATTAGATGTTGTCGAGATGCTATGCAAACATATCCTTTTGCATTTGACACGAGTCGCAACAAATGCGCCCCTCGTACCGAACACAGACATACAATATATAGAAAATGTGAGATATTTAAAATCTCCTTTAAAAATAAATGTTATCGTGTATTTTAATGACTTTTGCCTTAATTTTCTCCATCGTCTTCGCTCTCGCTTGTGTTTATGCTTTGTTTTTGGTGATGATGTGTGTACACAAGTCATAATTAAATTATTTATGGCACTCAACACATTATATTTGCCTATTTATTTGTCGAGTGCCGTCAAGTGCTTGAGTGAATGTGAATGGGTTTTGCTGGTTTTTTTGTTGTCATTATCACCACTTTTATCTCGTCCTATTTGATGATTATACTTGAAATTATTTATTCAGTACAGTGTGTATTGTTATTGTTTTTGAAGGAGATTTTGTTTTTGTTTCTTGTGTGTGTCATTTTCACTGCCGCTCTTCATCTCTCCTATTATATATATATATATATATTGGTGAAATGGCTTCTTCATTCACATCCCCATTCTGTGCTCTCTATTGCTCATTTCTTGCTCTCGTCCTCACATTACCGTTTCGTGCGATTTTTCGTGTTGGAAAATGTCTGCGCATTTAATTTAATTCAATTCAATTCAATCCAACTCAATTGAATTGAATAGTGTTCCTTTTTAGTGTTCGAGTGCGAGCTTCTTTTGAAAGCTCTCTCGCCTGTGTAATACACAGTGTGTATGTGTGTGTGTGTGTGCTTTTTTGTCGTTTTGAATTTACTTGTGCAATTTTTCTCCATAATATTTATTACTTAGAGCTAAACGCAGCTGAAACATGCATTTCCATTTGAAAAGTGCATTTGAAGAAGGCACACACAAAACGGATCACACACACACACACATACATACTCTTGCACAAAACACGAGCCAATAAAGGAAGTGGTGAAGAGCAGTCGGACAAAGTGAGAAGAGAAAGATACAGGGAGAAGGGAAGAAGAGCAAAAAAAAAATTAAAAACAATCCGAAAATACGTCCTCGTCTCGGAATAATTCTTGGCAAGAGTAACAACTTATAAATATAGCGTGAGTTTATTTTTCCGCTGATTAAATTGAAAATTTATAGAAGTGTATGGAGGACAAATGCCAATAAATTGAATGGATGTTGTCTGTGCATGTGTGTGCGTTTGGCTAGGTTTCTGCGTATTGTGTGCGAGAGAGAGAGAAAGAGAGAGAGAGAGAGTGCGCTTCGTCTGCCGAACGGGCATTTTGCGACACCCGTAACATTTGTGAAATATACCGTATTTAGTAAATACTATTTACGAAAAATATTTGCCCATTTCTTAGTCGAGCGCATGATCTGAGCATGGAAACCAAGCCCGACCGATGAACGAGAAGGAATAGTAAGAGCAAAAAATGCACCACATTAATTCATTTACCGCAAAAGAAATAACGAAATTTTCGTTTCCATCCTATCAATTATTTCGGCAATCACCAATATATCATTCGGCCAACTTCGAAAACAAGAACAAAACTCCAAAGTGAAACCACATTCTCTCGCACAAACCCTTGGTTTGGATTTTCTTGTATTTCTTCTTCTTTGTTCTTATTCTTTCGTGCATTTCGGGTCGGAATTCGATAGAGTTTTGATTTAAAAAAAAAAAAACAAAGTGAAAAAAAGTATCAAAGTGTAGAACACGAGACAAGGAGAAAAACGAAAAAATCGAAACGGAAAAAAGTAGAAATCAGACGGCGCTAAATTTATGATTTAAATATAAACAGAAAAAACCGATGTCGAAGCAACACACACACACACACACACACACACACACACACACACATGTATATATATGCACACAAAAACGTGGCAGACAAATATCAAGTAACAAATTTGAAGCAATCATTTATACTATTTCTTAGGAATTTTTTCTTCTTCTCCATCTTATTTCATCGAAATCGAATTTTTTTTCTCATTTCTTAAGCATAGAAAATGCCACCGAAAAGATTTATAAATACATTTGTCTTGTACGATTGTATTTATGCTTTTGCTGTCGAACAAAATATACTCGGTTCGCTGTGAAAAATTCGTCACGGTTTTACCATGGATGCAGGCATAGCTACGCCAATACAGGCAGTCACCGAGCAAAATGCTCTTGTGTTTGTATGTGTGTGCCCGTAGAGACGAAAAGGAATCGGTATTTCGTCTCTGTTAGCCTTTTAACTGCTGCGTGAACTCGATCGTAATTCAAATCACAAAAATTTAGTGTTTCGGATGGAAATCTCCAGCAACATTTTTATTAAAATATACAAACTCAACCGCATCGCGCGTTATGTAACAGCAAACGATGGCCTTCTCGGGAATGCGCCACTATTCGTTCACATAGAGTGTGATGTGTGACATTTTGGTGTTGAAAGCAATTTTTTCGTTCTTTTTTCTCTCTCACTCTATCTTTTCTCTCTCTACCACTTTTTTTCGTCTTACTCTCTCTCTCTCTCCCACTCTCACTTCATTGTCCGGTGCGCATGATAACAGTGGTGAAGTATTTTTTCACATTTTTCATGCAATCACTCGAGTATTTGCTCATTGATCACAAGTACATGTTGAGAAGAAGAGAGAAAAAAAAACCACACCAAATACTACCATATTAGCGTTCGATTCGACAAAAGCGGACCGCAATTCAATATATTAAATTATTGTTATCGAATCTGTGTGATGATGCGTGTATGGTGTGGTGACTATGCTTATTTCTGACTAGTTAGATTGCTTTATGTTGCCTTACGTACGCATAATACACATTGGAAAACTTTTATGATACATTAAGCAGTCATTATTTATTGGATTTCCTTCGATTAAATATCACCAAGCTGAAATCAGAAGCGAGCGAGCAAGCGAGAGAGAGATGGAGCGAAAAAAGGAGGAAAGAATGGCATCGCAAACTAACGAGGACAAATATAAAATATTTATTCCGATTTTCTTCTTATTTTGTACATAGTTTTTTTCGCCTCTTTTTTTCTCTTCTTTTGGCCATGTTTCCCATTTTTCAACAAAAGGCAAGCTGTCGCACCGCAAAACAACATCTACAAACACAGAAATCTCGCACCAAAAATCTCATCTCCTTTTCGGTGGCATAAACTTATATTTCTTGTAAGAATTTTTTTTCCTTTTTTCTTCCATATATCTATGTATATCGTTGTCTACTTTTAATTTGTCTCGGCTGAATTCAATGTTGCGGCTTACGACGATTGTTACTGATCATTGTGCTGGGTTTTGGGTGACAAACAAACCGAAAAAACAACGAAAAAAAAAACAAAAACCATATCTCTATCTTCATTCATCTTGTGATCGTGTGATTCGCCGAATTTCTTGGGTTTGTCTACGATGGGATTTGGAATGAATGCCACAAATAATCATTGACAACAACAACAATGATGGCGGCAACGACGACGACTACGATGATGGCAACAACACACATTGGGCCACGACTGCACGACGACTCCGAATGGAACGGAAACAGATGATTTATGTGGTGACATAAGCCGTGACAACATCATTGATAGAACAGCATTGGATATACTTGAAAAATTGCCAAAAACGTTCGAAATTTGGCGAGTTAAAGAAACACTTCAAATGAAATTATGTCCCACGGGTGTGGTTTTATTACAGGAGCTGCAGCTATACAATGGACTTGTTGAACGTATCGAAAAAACTTTAAAACTTTTACGAAAAGTATGTGTACAAGTAAATAAGTTTTATATTTACGAGCCATCGTGGTTTTGGGTTTTGGTTGTTTAAAAGTTCAGCAAAAGCTGCAAACTCAGGCAATCATATGCGATTGCTGGTCCGGGCACCGTGAATGTGCAGTGCACACAACTTCAGGCAGCCACACTACACTTGCACAAAAGTTCAATCTTGGCATTTGTGTGCCTGGCGAAATAAACATACATAGTATATTCTCTGTCTTCTCGCTCTCAATCTCTCGACATGTGTCTGACCACTTTTCAATTATTCCGCCCAGAGATAGCGAGTTGTTCGGTTTCCATAGCCCGATTGCCATGATGTGACTGCGTGTGCATGACTCGTTGCCATTGACTTTGGTTTAGTTTCGAAAGCGGCTGAATCATAGAAATCAGTACCAAAGGCACGGTTCGGCATGGTTACAACGCGAGCACAACATGGTTGAGAGACAATGGCAAAAGTTCATTATAACTGATCAAATTAAAAAATAACAAACACACAGTATAACAAGAGAATATTTTTCATGATTGACGAGCTAATGCACAATGCATGCACAAGCCACAACACGCTCTTCATTTTCTCGCTTCAACTTTGTTAATCCGTTTTGTCGGCTGTTATTAAGTCTATATTTCGAAGAAAATTTTTGAATTTAATTTACGTATGATTCAATGAAAATGATTATGCACCGGATAATTAAAAGCAATAATTAGCCCATGATGAAATTCTCACAATTGAGCTGTATAAGGAGAAGGACAACAGCGAATTGATGATGAGTTAAACAATTGTGGCATAGCAACAGAATAATGCCTTTGTTTCATGTCGCCAACAATGGTGGCATAAGAGAGGCCTAAGCGTTCAAATTACTCTCTTCTCTCCGACGCACCATCAATTCCAACTGTATCAATCGTGTCGCTACTTCGTTTAACCACTTCTTCTTTTCGATGGCTATGTCGGTGTTTCGTTCCATTTCTATCGATTAACACCATCAAATTTCTATTAGATGAACTTCATTAATAAATAATTTGCTTGCACTTTTATTTTGCAAAAGTTTTATTTTTCCCCGTTAAATCAACCAAATGAAGAGTGCTAATGCAATAAATGAAATGTGTGCTAGCTGTGGCTTGCGCACCGACAATCACATAAGCAATCGAAATAAATACACACACATACATTTAGCCATATGTATCGTGTGATAGTCGAAAGTGATTTGTAAATGAAACTATGAGAATTGTACGCGTCTGTGTGAGAGATTCTGTGTGCGTGTGTGTGCTGAGTTGTGTGCTGGATTTTATTATCCAATTAAAACTTTTGCAATAGGCAAATGCCGGAAAATTGGCGATGGATGCAACATTGGATGAGATAGCAGACGCGTTATTGAATCAACGATTGCCAGACGATTGGAGGAAATTAGCACCAGAAACTTGTATGCAATTAGCTGCATGGTTAAATCATTTGCAGGTACATAGTACACTCATCCACTTACTCCTTCGCATAATCGTGGGCATATCGTTTCACTTTTATATCGTGCATCGTGTATACTATATCGCTTGTTCATCGACTTTCGAGTGTATGTAATTCAATAAGCAAGCCCATCGCCCATTGTATGTGGGAATGGTTGTACCGTTGCGCGAGAGTCGCTGATGCATGCGTACCATATACGATGAACTTTTCACGTATTTATTTGTATGGTTTTACTGCGCCCCCAATATCGCATTTGACTAAAATCTATTTTTCGTAACAAAACAACAACAATGGATCTTTGATGGAAACGAATATGCGTCGCCAATGACGACAAACTCGTAATTGTAATCAAACCTACACGCAAACAAACAAACAAACAACGAACGACAACAATACGATGCGTATTTTGTGGCTCATCGGGCGCGATATGGATTTGGACGATAAATTGCGGGGACAAAAAAAAATCAATTCTTTTCGCTGGATGCAAAATGGCATTTCCGAAAAATATGCACACCCACCACACGAATCACTGTCGTCGATGCACGTACAAAACTGTACAACTTGCCGCAACAATCAATGCAAAAACATTAGCATCGTGCTCAACAGTATAAATATTGGTCGGTTTCAGGTGAACCCACTGTGATGTGGTTATCTGGTTTGCATGCACCTAAAAGCTTTTTGAGAGCAATAGTTCAGGTATGTTCATTGTTTGTAACAACAGCACAATATCTTTAGATTTATATGCCATAACACACAAACGCGCAGAGACAGTATAAATGACACTTAATCGTTGTTATTATTGCTTTGAGCGGCCTTGTTAACCAGGTTTTGATCTTTCTAATGGACGCAAAAAAACAATCGAAATGCACATTGACGACAAAAAAAAAATGAAAAAAGAACAAAATACGAACAAATAAACATGTATCGTTTGAAAATTGAATTCGAATCGAATGGGTTTGGGTTATCGCTTTATTTGTTTAGCAGGCCACCCCCCATTCCACCGCAAGAACTCAATTTACTATTAGCATTTCACTTATTGCATATTATATCGATTCGATTCGCCGTTCCCCTTTCACATACAACCACCCAACCTCCATCTACTCGACTAATTTGATTATTATACAGATGGATTGCCGCAAAAATATTTGGCCTATTGAAAACACAACGATTTTTACCTCGGTTACAACATACTCCGATGCGAATGATGTGGAAGAGCAACTTGATTCGGTATGTTAGAAACACACACACACACGCGTCAATAATTCAGTTGAATGCATACATATATATGTAGGCAATGGGCGCTCTCGTCAAGCGCAAAACCATATGAATTGTCTACATCGTTTTGATTTGGGTAATTTTTCGATTTGATTTTTGTTTTTCTTCCCTTTGGCTATACGAATCGGAATCGAAATCGATCTGGACTCGTTCGCTCACTCTCCCCCCATACAACATGCACGCACATTTACTGGTGATTGTGAGAAGGGTTGTTATATCAGCGGACTGTTTATTGAGGGTGCTGGATGGAGTATTGAGCATAACGCATTGGTTAAATCGAACAACCTGCAGGAGCCGTTACCTATTTTACGTGTTATACCAATGGAAAAACATAAATTACAAACGCAGGTATGCAAATTGTAAACGATGTGATTTCAATTGTCAATTTAGATTACTGTACAATGGAGACTTTGTGAGAAAAGCGGGAAGGAAGAGGAAAAAAGCAAGAAAGAAGATATAAAATGCAAAGTTCTTCTGTCATTTTGCGTGTTTGAGTGGTTGTGTCATCGTTGTCGTCGTCCAACTTTTACTATGTGACTATTGTGCATATCATGCGTTGGCTGACTCGTTTCTCTCGGTATCACTACGATATATTCCGAGTGGTCACTTGTCGCATTGCCAACCACTTAGACACCTTAATGACATAGTTGGTAAATAGTTAGCCAATTAGCCGAGAGAGAATCGTTACGTAAAATGTGTAACAATTTCGTAGTCCGGACAGGCATTCGAGCAATTGTTGATTTTACGGTTAATTTCAAGCCGAGATTTTGTTGAGCATCACAACTTGACATCGGTCGATTCAAACATCATACTACACACACACACGCGAACACATACATTTACTTACGCGCAAACGCTTGCCGCTCGTTGCTCTCTCGCCTGCACAAATCAATGAGGAATGACATCTTGGCTATGTACAGTGGCAGCTGAGCGCATAAATAAAACATAATCTGTGTGAGCTTTATCGTAGCAGAAATGGGCCAGTTGATCGGACAAACAATACAAGGTGTAGCCATGACTGTCGGGTTTGGTGTGTACATTTGCGAGCGGACAATGTGTAATAGTGGAACAAGTGAGGGAGAGGGAGAGAGAGAGAGAGAGAGAAAAAACGATAGAGAGCGAACGAAACAGAGAGGGGTGGGAAATCATCGGATGAACGCTCTGCACAATCAAGCAAATCGTGAATTGTTCAACATTTAAGTAAAATCAACAGCCTGTTAGTGATTTCAGTAAGACGAAATATATCACATTAAATTCAATCCCCAAATATGATATACGGTACGCATTTGGTCACTTAGGCGAATAGCATGTCGAATTAGTGTTGTTTTGATGGGCTCTCTCTCGCTCTTGCTCCTCCGTATTTCACTTTCATTTCGGATTCTCTTCTTGTTGTTTTTCTACGTCCTTTTTTCCCCATCTCGTTGTTGTTGCGGCGATTGCCCATTTGCCATTTATATTTAATCTTCATTCGCACCGAACAATTCCACCGCAACAGCAAATCGGTGGAATGCCAAACCGGAAAATATTCAGCAACTTTAGCGCCTAGATATATGCATATTTCAATTCTCTGTCTCTCGCTAATTCATTATTCATTTTCACGGATCGCCTTGACGTTTCTCTATTTTTGTTGTTTGCCAAATTTGTAGGATTCACTGGTAACGCCCGTGTACACAACATCGAAACGCAATTGGGATGTGCACAATGATAACAATAGACTCGTATTCGAAGCGTATCTACGAAACATCGAACATACGAACCACTGGATTTTGCTCGGTGTGTGCTTAATATTAAACCGAGATTAAATCGCGCCCAATAAAAGTGATGTCAAATTGTAATTAATTTATTACAACGGGCCATCGAGCATGCCATGGCCATGGCACAAGAAAATCGACGCAAAAAAATTGGAATGAAATGAAAGAAGAAATAAATTCCAACCGGCAAACGAAATAAATAAAACACCAACCGAAATAATATTGTTGTAAGCAATATGATGTAAACCGAATCGGAAAGCGTGAAAAACGGAGATGACCGGAATTGAATGAGAGGGAGAGAGAGAAGGAAAGCGAAAAAAAAAACATCGGCCGAATAAATAAAATATCGCACCAATGAAAAATAAAAATGCAATGCACTACTGCACCAGATTCAACTGCACACACACGCACACACACACACAGAGATTTATAAAAATTGGTGATAAAAACCAAATTGTGTTGACCAAAAAATGCTGAACGAAATCAAACGCATGTAATTCATGTGTCATATTAATAACCAACCAACTGATAAATAAATTATTTCATCCATTAATACTTTGTGTCATATCGAGAATTCGAGCGAATATTTCATGCACGCATTCTGCAAATTGTCCATATAAATGCCATATTATGTTGGCCTTTCTCCGGGTTACTGCTGCTGCCTAGCTAGCTGTTCTACTTTTCTTCTCTGCTAAACATGTGACATTTTGGTCGACGCACAATTTATGTACCACATTCACACTCACACACAGGACACACATACATGCGACAATTGGATGACACACTGTTCAATGCCGTAATAAAATAAAATACATACAAGAAAAAAGCACATACACACTCTCTCTCCTCTCAAAAGCACCACTTGAAAAAAAAACTGCCATTGGACAAACAACAACAAAATCATCGATTCAGCGCTAATAAATAAATAAAAGTGAAAACAGAAATCGAATAAATGCGAATTGCAAATAAATCTGATTGAAATTCGTATCCATGACACTCTCGCTCTCTCTCTCTCTCTCTCTCGCGTGCGCGCTCAGTACTTAAGAAGGTTTTGCTTGCTTTTATTTCCGACAGCATTTTTTTTTTAATCTACGCCGATGAAATTATGCCAACGAAATTACGTTATTTCAATTTTGTCCCATACGCGAGAGTGTGAATAGAGAAAAAAGATATGTGTAAATTGCCATTTGTTTATGTCACATGAGGATTTGGGTTTTTTACACATGTTTTTCCAGGAAAAAAAAACTTCCACCCAAAACCATTTAGAATAAAAGTCTGTAGAAAATTAAAATTTGTCGTTTTTTTCCACCTTTTACACTTAAAACTTACGTCTCCCTTTGGAAATCAGCTTTGAAATTGAAAAGCTGAGATCAAAGAAATTTATTTTATCCCTATAAGATGAACAAGCTTACTGTGCATACTAATAATAATATGTGTGTGTGTGTGTGTGGTAAGTCAAGCAATGCAGGAAGGAAAAAACAAATCCAAGGAAAAACTCGAAGCTCATCTACTATTGACTGAACGGTAGAGTGTACTAAAAGAAGGAAAAAGAAGCTTAGTTTTTGGGAAATTGATATCCTTATCGTTTCTGTTGGCTGAAAAATCACGTGAACGTTGTTTGAATAGTTTATATCGACAAAGCGTGTATATATAGTTGTAACTTCTTCATGTGGAACAAATCGAGAGTGAAACCACAAAACCGTACCGCTGCGGAATAATTTTATGGACCACAATACCAAAGCCAAATATTTTCCACAGCAATCACGAACGCCATTGAAGAAGTAGAAAAATGGATTTTTCTTCCGTTTTTTTTTCGCTATTAAATTTTCGATCTCATTTTTGTTTGGAATAATTCTTTATCTCAGCATGTCATGTGTGTGTGTGTGTCGATAATAAAACTGTTGGAAATTTGCATTTTTTATATTTACAAAATATCTGGAAATAGAGCATGCCAAAGGTACGTATTACATCAGGTTTCTTTTTGCAAAGCATATGCAATAGGGAAAAAACGTAAGTTTAATAATAAACAAGCACTCAATTTTCAACGGTATCCTTTTTTCATTGGATCAACTTGATTTTTGAATTTCATGTGGGAAATTCGGTTTTTATTTAAAATATGCCACTGAAACCCAATTACCAGATGTTGTAGTGCACACATATTCGTTGACAAGTCAGCGCGAAATAAGCATACATGTGCATGCAAAAGAAGCGATTAAACATGCTGCGATGCTGCAGTGGTTCATTGTTCGGAGCTTGGATTAAAAAAAAAAAGCGGGCGGTAAGCTGAATTGATATTTTGGCGCGTAAAAATGTCATTGTCATTGCCAGAGACATCGCAAAGTTGCGAACGGTGTTGCTAACGGCCTTCAAGGTATTAACGTGCTAAAATAAGCACATTTGTATCACACTTTGGCTAATGTCAACACATTTCATCGTGCACACATACACATAGCTGTTCCAGTCCAATGAGTTTTGTAGCCCAGAAGAAGTACATATAACTTGTTTTGGGTCATCGTTTTAAAAGCAACATAAACGAAGTTAAAATGCAGGAAATTATGTGTGACCAACAAGAAGCATTTAGTTTTTGGTGTGTGAGAAAATGGATCTTACCAAAATCATCGAGCGAGAGACGGATAGAAAGAGAGAGGGAGAGAGGGAGAGAAGGAGAAAGCGTGTAAACAATTAATGTATTTTTTCAATTTATTGGTGTTAAATTATTTGTTTCGATACAACTTAATTATGTCATAATACGTTCATAAATTAGTACTTCATAGATATCAAAGTTTATTACATACGAATGTGTCGAATACCACACTTTAAAGTTTTTCGAAATGGAAAATGGGCGAAAAGAAATGTAGATCTATTTCGAAATGGAAACTAAGTCAAATGTGTCGGCTTATTTCTCTCATATGATGTAATTCAGAAGGTCTGTAGTTGAGTGGCTGCAAGCATACACGTTCACAAAAGAAAAAGAAGAAGAAGAGGAAAAACACAAAACGTTATGAATGACTCAAATGAAAGCAAACAAAATTACACATGGAATGCCGTGTACAATGAGGGATTTGGATAGAAACATTGAAAAGCAGAGACGAGGATGAAGAAAAAAACAATGAAGGAACGCCAGGCAAACGAATTGTATTCAAAGCGGCAGTCGGAATGAAAAACAAAAAACTAGTCCGTACAGCACTTTTAGCTCTGCATTTTGAAGGTGTGGTATTTTTTTAATTTTGGTGTGCTTGCACTTCACATTCGAAAGCGTATGGAACAATGCAAGTGCCCAGAGAAAATGCTTACATCGAAAATGGTAGCATGAATCGAGGAAATAGTTGCATATTTTGCACCGTGCGCCACTCTCGCTCTCTCTCTCTCTCTCTCTCTCGGCGATATGTAGAGCTGAACATTTTTCCATTTGTGTCGTGGCTACAGCACGTCATTAAAATAACGGCAAAAACGGTTGAAAACATACTTCAGCCCTTTTCGAATTGCAAAACGATTATTATTTTGTTGTACGATTTTATTGCAACAAGCTTTAGCCGGCTTTTCTCGTGCACCTATTCCTGTGCTCCCATAGCATGGGGTTGGCTGTGCCATCAGCAACCCGAATCGCTCAAAAACACCCGAACCGGATGAAACACAAAAGAAACAAATTTAAATCGTATGTAGGTCAGTTTTGAATTTCTATATTACCTGCGAATACATATGTATGCTCGTGTACATGCAATGTGCACACGCTTTTAATCCCTCTCTTGTTACATTCGTAATGGCGTGTGATTTTTATAGCAATTTTCTGGATGTGGAAAAACTGAAGAAAAGCTCAGCGAAAACCTTCCATTCCGCTTCAAAACAAAGCAAAAAAAAACATACACACTAATGCGCCCGAATGTACAGCGAAAAACTCTATGAGAGGCAGAGGGAGCAGGACACCGAGAGAAAAACAAATACGAGAGCAGCAAAAAAGTGGCTCGATAATAGTGTGTAAATGTTGATCATAGATTCGTTTCCGAACTGTGTCTATTATACAATGCATAAACAAAATTCGTTGTAAAATGCAATGAACGAAAATTCAGTATTTGGTATTTGAATATTTACGGTTTTTTCGTGCAAAATCGTCCGCTCCTTTGTCTCACAGTCTATTCTGCTCTATTTGTGCAAGTCGTTCGCTTCCTTTTTCTCTCTCTCTCTCTCTCTCTCTTGCTCTTTTTTTCCACCTGTTCATTGTTTGTTCGTTGGTTTCATTCTTCTTTTCTTTCACTTGTTCTCTCACTCTCTTACTCTGTTCCTGTTTGGTTTAATTTTATGACCACTGCACAGAGCGCATACCTATACACTTTCGATCCCATATGATTTGGGACGTGTATGGCTTGATTGTTCCATAACTTGTTTTCTCCACTATGAAGTAGAATATTCTGTTGCAAACAAAATAACGGAATCCACAATCATATCGTAATGCGCTTTCATTGACTTTCACATTTGGCCGGGATGTGATGCGATAGAATGGGAGAATGGAGCAAGTGAGCGAGTAAAATGACTGAATATAGTCAATATGTATTCTAAATGTGGACAAGAGTTCTGATGTCCATTATGAAGATAATTGTTATTTCAGAATGTTTTTGTAGCGAACTTTTCTCGACCATGCCCCATATTCATACTCCCATCGCTTATGTAACTTATTATGATTTTATTCGCTGCTCTGACCACACCGGCGACCCAAACTTACCTGCAACAAATTTCGAAAAGCACCGAAAAAAAGAGAGAGAGAGAGTAACAAAAGGTATGAGGTTAAAAATACATATGAGTCCAGATAAAACGAATTTCATTTAGCAAACTTTCACGAAATAAATTGTTTACGGTTTCATTTCCAACATCGTTGGCTTTTATATTTGTACGCATTGGAGTAAGGTATTTGCTAACTATGCAGCAGCACCACCATGAAATAAAATGTGTGATGTTACAATAGAGTATTGCTTTGACCCGCAACATTCATATTTTAAACCAGGTGCATCAATCAAATTTTCTCATCCAGTATGGTTGGATGTTTTTAGCGCTTATCCTCGTCCCATTCGTCCTCTTCTTCCTTTGGCTGTACAGTGTACACACAGAACCAACAGCGAAGAAACAATTTCAAAGGGAATTCGTGGCCCATTCGGTTCAACCAACGTATATGAACATGGCTTACACATGTAATGCATGCAAAGCAATATGGAAAGTGAAACGTACGCCGTACGATATGTGTGTGTGTATGTGCCTTAGCAAAATGTCGTGATACTTTTATTTTTCTACCAGTGTGGGTGCGTATGTGTATTTTCTCTTTCTTTTGTCGTCATTTTATGAAAACGCTTTTCATAATATTTGTCTACTCTCGAATCCACCTCTCGCCGTTCACATTTGCATTAATTTCTCGAAAGTTTTCCCATTGAATTTAATTTGCCCATGTGTAAATGTGCTTTAATTTGTGAAAT